GGGGGGGTGGCGCGGGGGGGGCAGCTCACAGGAACGGGTCCTCGCCGTAGTTCTCCTCGACGCGTCCCCACCGGAGCTCGCGCGAGAGGTCGAGCACTGGCGCGAAGATGTGGGTGATCCCGAGCCCCTCCGCCTCGTCCGAGATGCTCGCGGCCGCTTTTTGTAGGAGATCGGTGTTCCAGGAGGCGGCGAGACCGAGGGGCGAGGGCCAAGTCGTGCCGTTGTCGGTAAAGCCGTGCAGGCCCTCCGAGTCGACGAGGGCGGGGATGCCGAGCGTGGTGTTGTGCATGAGGTAGTCTTGCGCGGTCTGGATGGCGAAGACGAGCTGTGTGAAGAGGGGATTGAGGCCGGGTTTGCGATGCACCACCCCCCACCGGAAGGGAGAGAAGGAGAGGATGCGGACCTTGTTCCATGGAGTGAGGTAGCCGGCCCAGATGCTGCCCGCCTTGGTGGCGAGCGAGTCGACGAGGCCGGTCGCGTTGAAGACGAGGGTGTCGTCGAGCGGGTCGGTCATGTTCATCCAGCCGCCGATGTCTCCCTGAATCCTGACGACGCACCATATTCGGTATATTGCTTGTCAGAGTTACGCGAGGACCGGGTACACGCACAGCTGGGCGACCTTCTCTTCAATCGTCATGCGGGGAAGCAGATCCGCGATTCGGTCCTCGATCGCCGCGTTCGGGTTCTTGTACGTCGGCATCGAGCCATCCTTGTTCGTCCCCCGGGCGTGCAAAGGAAAGTGGGCGTTGCGCGGGATGCCCCAGTGTTCGTGCGCGCGGTCATCCAGGACGGAAGAGGCGACGACGAGGGAGGACGCGGAGACGAAGAGGCCAAAGCCGACTAGTACCCGAGAGAGCGAAGGCATCGTCGCGAGTCCGTCAGTCTCCAGAACGCGAGCGCGCGCAGGAGACGGTTAGCGTCCGAAGGCCTTATAAAGCTCGCCCGGTCGCTGTCCCTAGCGCGCGTTCGCGCAATGCGTCCGAGGCGTCGGATATGGCCCCGAGCACGCGCTGGTTCTGATCCAAACGGCGTCGGCGTACACATGACCGAGTCCAGTCATGCTCATCGAAGAAATAAACAAAGGCCATTGGCGGACGAAGGCGACGTCGCGGACCGGGCGGCGTTGAGGAGGAGGTTCGTGACGCGCAAGAGCGAAGAAAAGCCGTCCCGAGGATTCGCCGAGATGGCCGGGCCTGGTGGCTGTGCTACGGAGAGTCGACGTTTGCTGCGACATACATGTACAGGGGACACCCGCATCTGCATATGTACATGTACGCACAAGAGCCCCGGTGGAGAACCCACTTGGATACAACTTGTCGCTTTCATCACTCTCTCGGACCGTTTACCCCCTTCTTCGGACCGTCCCACCAGTTGGCCTCTGAAGACCTCGATCTTGATGGCGCATGCGAGCAACCACAAGTTCTACACAATGGATAGGAAGGGCATCAGTGCGTCGGAATGTATCTGATACCCACTCGTCCGACCTCAGCTTAACATCTCATTGTCCAGCTCCTTCCAAGGTGGCACACTTCGTTCCATGCACTCCTACGGCCCTCTTCTTGACTCTTCAACGCGTCGGCGACGCATTCTTCGCAGAAGCCCATCTTCCTCTTCGAAGTCTTCTGAACCTGATTGTCGAACAGGAACAAGACGGTCTCGCTCAAGCGTTTTTCTCCTTTGGCCCCATCCGCGCCCGTTTAGCCGCCGCGCATGCAGCTGGTAACGTGCATGCCGGCGAAGGACCAGGATAGGCCCATCGGAATGGAGTGCGTTGCGCTGTACGCCTTGGAGTCCCGCGAATCCTCTTGAGAATAACAAGAAGATCGTCGGACCCCAAATTTTGCCCGAAGGTTGTTTTTCTATCCCGGATTGGCAAAGCGCGAGCACGGTCGCTGGGACTACGGCGTTCGGCCGCAGGCTCCGCGTCACCGTCAAAGCACGCGCATGATCTGCGGGTGACTCTCTCATCCGCACGTTCTCGTCTAGAGCGACGGTCGAGGAACGCCACGAGAGGCGGCTCTCCGCATCGACGCGGAGACGTTTGGTTCCATATTTGCTCGATAATGAAAGGATAGAGAGTGTGCGCGCCAAGGTCGCCACTTCGCACAAGGCTTCAGGAATCGCCCATTCATCGTTTCCATTCGTGACTTCAGAGTGACCATTGGATCTGAAGGTCGAGTTTTCGACGGCACCTTGAATCGAAGATGGCTGATAGTAATTGTTGTAGGTGCTCCGCTAGGTCGGTCATATGGACGATCGGGCATCCGTAGCGAGCATCGGTGTTCGAATCATGATCGCAAACCTCGAACATGTCCGCAGACACCGTGGAGTGCTTCGCTAATAGCATACGTTAGACCCTGAATCCTATGCCTTCCGATGCGAGCACGATGCTGCCGTCGCTGTACCACAGCTCTTCGCAGCGTGTCAGGTGCCCGGGCGATGGTGAGGATGCGCCTGGCTCGATGCTTTGTTCGTGAGTTGCTCCCATGGTGCTAAATAGTCGACACGGCGGTTGTAGGAGAACAGATGCAGGCTGTCGGAAATGAATGGGCAGGGCGACAAGTGAGTACCCCGATGTCCACCTGCATACCACGTGTATACGTTGGTAATATCATGAGTATAGCAGGGATGCGGAATTCATAACAGGAGTCCAGGACAGCATTCGTCACATGGAAGCTACGAATAAATACAGATCCTATACCAAGGCACCTGAGTCCTGAGCATGGATATCCCTCGTGCATGTAGAGAACGGGTGATTGTAATACTCTGAGCTTATACTTTGCATTTGGCTAGTCCCATCTTCTGGATCATGAGACACTCGTGCTGGACGTGGAGCTGGAAGAGGACGCGTGAGCTTGTACCTACAAAGGACTCTCCAACGAGAACAAAATTGTTCACATAATTCGTGAGATGCCCCGAGAGCATTGTAGCGTGCCTTGCTACAGCTCGTCCCAGGGCGGCAAGTCAAACGCAGCTGGCAAATCGTTCCAAACGATCTGACGCCCGGCGTTGTGCTTATCCGTCGCATCCGCGCCACAGGCCTCGCAAAAGCCGACGGTGAGAATGCTGGAGGACTCGGTGTAGGGGATGCCGAGTAGGACCAGTCTCCCGTTGCGGTTCAGCTCCTCCAGCTTCTCGAACATGGCCGCCTTCAGCGCCCCGCACGCGTGGTCAGATGTGCACGACGGCTGTCGCTGATACAGCCACGCGTCGATGCGCGTCCTGTGGAAGCTCTGAAGTCGCGAATGACCCATGAGGAGCGCGAGCAGGTCATCGGAGTCCAGGCCGCATTGCAGGATCTGGCGGATCCCGCGGCAGCACATGGTGAGCATGATGACGGGAATGGCGGCGTTCAGACGGAGCTGTCGGGCCAAGCTGAGCGCCGCGCAATGCTGCGCGCACGTCAGCTCGACCCGGTTCCGCGCCGCGGTCCAGTCATCGAGAGAGAGAGGGTAAAATTCGGCGAAACGCTGCGCGGCGCGATCGGGTGGGGAATGTCGTACTTGGCCGCCAACGAGGCGATGGCGACGATCTCCTCGAAAGGCGCGTTGTTAACGTGTTCAATGCTCCCTCTATGATGTGAAGTGAGAACATGAGCTCGGGACGGAACGATGCAGGGGAACGTGAAACGCACCTGACGTCGTGGATGGCCAGCAGCAGGTACTTAAGCTGCTCGGCCGAGTCGGGCATGTGAATCAACGGGCATCCGTAGAAGGGATCCACGTTGGCATCGGGAGTCGAGACGGCGAGCATGTCCGCGAATACGGACGAGTGCTGGGCGAGTAACATGCGGTAGATCTTGAAGCCGATCCCTTCCGCCGCGAGCACGATGCTCCCGTCGTCGTACCACAGCCCCTCGCAAAGCTCTAGCTCTGCGGACGGCTTGGATTCGTTGTGTAGAAAGCGGGTAGAATCCATGCGATCTGGGCCTGATACGCCAGGATGGTGGTGAACCACAACCAGCATATATACCGAGCGTCAACGCAAATCACGCGTCGTTACGTAGGCGCCTATCCAGTTCATGAGCGATAATCTGAACGATATAGCCCATGTCCATGATGATCCATGCGATGGCGATGGACACCGGATGGTTCGTGCATGATTTGACATCCAAACAACGACCATCTCCGTGGTTTTTGATCGTTGTATTCAACTTCGACGAAACTATGAACCCAATGCGTCACCGCTGGACGTTGGATTGACAGAAGCAGAGGTTTGGAAGCTGGATCATAAACCATACAAAGCATTCAGGTAAACCGACGAAAGCACAGATCTAAAGATGACACGTCATGTTAGGCTAAGCAGCGGACAGCTTACGTGTAATTCAGGGTAACAGTACCTTAACAGCTACACGCAGTCCATAGCCACAAGCAAGTGATACCTGTCACAGCAGAAAAACACATTTCTTTTGTTTGTAGCCCATCCTACTGCGCCCCTGAGTCACTGAACACGGCAGGGATCCGATCCCATATAGCCTTGCTCCTCGTTTCGTGAGCCACGACTGCGTGCTCTGTACATACATCGCAAAGGCCAGCGTCCCACATCTCGTCCTCGTCCGGCGTGGGCGTGAAGAGACGTAGCTTGGAGTCCGAGTCCATCGACCGTTCCATCGCATCCGCCAAATTATCCCTCGCAGACGCGCACAGCTCCTTGGTCTGACAGAGGCGCGGGCCGCGAAAGAGCCACCGGTACGTGTTCTTCCTCTGCAGATTCTGCAACTTCGACAGGCCACGCAGCACAATGAGCAGATCGTCGGGTTCGAGCTCGGCTTGCAGGATCCGTTCGACGCCCTCCTGGCAGAGCGCGAGCATCATGAACGGCACGAGTACGGGCTTCTGGAGCTGGCGGGCAAGGTCGATAACCGTGCGGTGCTCCGCGGGCGACAGCGGCGGGCGCAAGATATGCTTCCACGATATGATGACTTGGGGGTACCAGCGGTCGAGGCGGGCAACGATGCGGTCACGCAGGCGCGGGATGTCGTACTTGATCGCCAGATACGCAACAGCGGCGAACTCCTTGAACGGCGCCCGGTCGATGCGTTCTCCGAAGCTACACAAAAGGATCCGCGCCAATCCCGTCAGACTTCGCGGCGGCGGGATCATAAGAGGGAGGCCATACAGACGCACCTGACGTCGTGGATGGTCAGCAGCAAGTAACGAAGGTCTTCGGCCGGGTCCGAGAGGTGCACGAGCGGGCAACCGTACATGGGATCGACATTGGCCTCCGGGGATGAGAGCGCGAGCATGTCGGCGAACACGGATGAGTGCTGGGCCAGGATCATCCGATAGACCTTGAACCCCATTCCTTCTGCGGCGAGTATGATGCTGCCGTCCTCGTACCACAGATCCTCGCAGCGAGACAGTTGAACCGAAGACGAGTCGTTGTTGACCGGGAGGCCCATGGTGTTCTTGGGGCAACAGGCAGTGGGGATAGGGGCAAAAGCTTGGTATCTGCAGAACGCATGCACATAGATCAGGTCTCGGCTATTGCCGGGCCGACAATAGCCGCGCACAAGTGGCTTGCAAACGCTCGCGTCGCACCCTGTAACTACTCTGGTGCGCTCCGTCGAACCCAAAGAGAGTAGCCTTACTATAACACATACAAGAATGCTACGAGATCTGCTATGGGCAACCCCTGTCCAATATGAGCCAGAGAGTAGCCTTACTATAACGCATACGAGAATGCTATGATGTCCAATATGAGCCTCACACTCCACGCGCAGCTCGAACAGAAGGGCTCATGATCAGTTCCATTACTCAGAATCTGAGTCGCCGCCGCTGTCATTCAGTAGTTCAGCCCAAGTCGGCAAACCGAAGATACTAGGCAACTCCTCCCATGCATGCTGGCGTCCGTGTTTCTGCGCCACAATCGCGTCTCCGAGGCACTGTCCGCATATGCCGAGCTCTGCCAAATGGTCTTCCGAGTAACCCTTCCCGAGCGCGTAATGCGTGTCGGTCTGGAACGTGTACTCCAACGCACTCAACATCCACCCCTTGTCGGCGCTGCACTCCCCGGGTGACGTGCATCCTGACGACAGACGATAAAGCCATCGGTAGACGTACGCCCTCTGCATGTTCTGTAGCTTTGAGAATCCGAGAAGAAGAGTCGACAGGTCTTCAGGTTCCGGCGCACACGACAGTATGCCACGGATGCCGTGGTCACAGATCGCGAGCATGATAACCGGGAAGGTCGAGGCCAGATCGAGCTTGCGGGCTAATCGCAGCGCTGAGTAATGATTCTCAGCCGTAAGGCTGGAAGGCTGATCATGCACGATGGTCCAGCGATCAAGGGTGGTGGGGTAGAAGGAGACGAAGCGTTCCAGAGCGCGATCCCGAAGGTGGGGGATGTCGTATTTGGCTGCCAACGACGCGACGGAGATAGTTTCTTCGTGAGACGCGTGGTTTAGCCGTTGGTTGACCCTAAGGGCGGAAGTGAGAAATAGGGGCCGGCCCCAGGATTTCCATGGCGCATGTTGAACCTACCTGATGTCATGAATCGCAAGGAGAAAAAGACGCAGGTCGTCGACGGGATCCGGCATATGCACGAGGGGACAACCATGGACGAGATCGTGGTTCGTTTCTGGTGACGATATGGCGAGCATATCCGCGAACACTGACGAATGTTGCGCCAGCAGCATGCGATAGACTTTGAATCCGACATCTTGAGCAACGAGAATGATAGTCCCATCCTCGTACCACAGTTCTTCGCAACGTCTGAACAAGGCCCATTCCCCATCAGATGGAGAATGGACCTTGTTGACTTGGGATGGTTCCATTCGCGTCGACAGTGTGGTGGGTAAAGAAAGGTAGCGCTATTGAATGTGAAGTAGAGATGCTGTTTCCTAGGAAGAGTCCTCCGGATTGATCACTCCGATCGTCGCAGGAGGTGTTCAGCCAAAGCCAGCAGGCTGCAGCGATTCACTCGCGCGCTGAAGGGCGTTCAATGTGTAGGACGTAACTCATCTTTCAAACTCGGAATACTCACCCACGCCTTCATGTCTTTCAGCTCCATCTGTTTCCCAGGAGGGGGCCCATGAATGGAAATCGGACTTCGGCGAGCCCACCCCTATCTCGGGCTGTTCTCCAGAGAGATGATCATTTCTCTCCATGCCCGATGACATGCGTCTCGGTGTATTTCTTTCGACAGCAAGTCGGCCGCCTCTTGGACGGTTGCGCTTATCGCGACGTCCCACGGAGGCGGGACCGGCTCTCCCGCGCAGCTATATTCGGAAGCGAGCCGGTTGAGCTGCTTAGTTCGAAGTCGGCACGAGGTAACGTAAATATCTCTTCGTTCGTTCAGGTACTTACGCGGCATCCAGCTGGATCCCATCGCTTCGAACATCACTGAGGTGCTTTCGATGGCAGAGACCCGCCGCCGGGTTTCGCCACATCCGATCTCCCTGTCAACCTTTGCTTGCACAAACTGGTGCACCGAATGGGATTCATATGGTCGGGCTTTTCCATACGTCGTAGGGCGCGCTGTAGCCCTGAAGCCGAAGGGTCGCCGACGTCTGAAGCAGGATTTGACGCCTTCCCATTCTCCTGCGCAGGACGATTCCGAGCCGCACTCCTCCCGCTCTGCGTTCCCAGAGTTTAAAAGCGTCCCTGCTTCCAACAATGCAGACGTCGGAACTTCCATTCGTAAGTATATGACGTAGGTACCGGTGTCGCGCACACACATTCTCTTCGGTGTTGTCGGGTCGCGCCTCAACTTGGCAGCCTTCGCGATGGGCAGATTCTCGCTATCGCGGTCTTGTAACAGATAACGGTGCCCCAAAGCCAGCCAGCCACCATTGCCAGCACCATCTATGTACCTTGTCAAACTCAAACGCAATGCCCCCCCCCCCGACGGCACCCAGATCCACTACACACACCGTCACAGCAGGACGATCGACCACGACATACAAGTACGCCCTTCGCTCGATATCCCGCGCCGAGTACCCCCCGGACAAGGTCTCCTCGGAGAGAGAGAACTGCTACACCAAAGTGGTCGCAATTCCGGGCGTTGTCTGATGGGACGCCACGGATCCCCCCCGGTGCGTCTCAGAAGACCGTATCGGTGCGGACAGCCGATCTCGCAGTGCACAGCACAGTTTTGTTTTGCTTCCGGCGCTGACGGAGTCGCCACGGAAAAAATCGCAACTATAATTATCTCACCACGAGCACGACAATGCACGTTCATCCGAAGCCAGACCAAGTTTAGGTTACATCCTCGCGTCGCTGACGATAATACGCCATCTCGCGCAGCAGCATAAAATCTGAGAGAGAGACTTTTTTTTTTTCGCCCTGCCCTTCCCCGCGTCCACTGCGCGCGTGCGCAAACACCCATCGGATATAGTCTAAAGTAATCTGTAATTTGTACTCCACCAGCCCTCCTCCCCCCCCCCCCACTACACACACACTTCGGACAGTATCCCCACATCAAAAGCAATTCGTCCCTTATCCGCATGTATCGTCACCCACCCACGCATTGGAATATCGCCAGACAATGGAGTGCAACCGCGCCCGCCCTGTGTCCGTTGGGCAAAAAAAAAAAAAAACTGCGGGATCAGACGAACGGGGCTCCGACTCGACGTGTCTCTAAACTCAGCTCACCGATCGCGATGCGGGCGTAGGGCTCCTCGATCGTCAGGGTGTGCCCGGACCGCCCGTATCCCTCCCGTTCGGGCGGCTTGAGGTCGTAGTGCGCGATGATGTAGTTGTGCGCCATGCCGACGCACTGTTTTTTTCGCCAGGAAAAAAGCGTTCGTGTCAGTCGAGATGCCAGTGAGCTGTGAAGAAAGGCGCGGTTGATACGCACGGCCCACTCGTGGTTGCCCACGTTTTCGACGGTGCGGTGGCACCACCTGTACTCCTGCCCGTCCGACGCCATAAACTTGCGATTCAGCGAGCTTGCGAACAACGAAACGAAACGAAATACGCGGTGAGCTCTGGAAGAAACCGGGGCCGAACGGACTCGAGGGGGGTATTGTCCTCACCTGCCAAACACGGACACCTTGCGGAGGTACTTTGAGATCGGCATTATCGCCGCCGTCTGCGCCTGATGGGAGGGGTGGTGGGAGTGCGGGAAGGTGACGGTGCCGAGCGTCGCGTTCGCGCCGAAGGCGATCACGACGGACGGGTTGCAGTGCACGACGTGCAGCAGGTGCCCGCGGCGGCGGGACCAGCGCTGGCCCATGTTGTGGATCATGACCGTGCGCTCGAACGCGTTCGGGTTGCTCGGCGGTGGGGGTGGCGAGGAGGAGGAGGACGACGACAACGACGACGACGAGGATGACGATGAAGAGGAGGCGGGGAGAGGAGAGGAGGAGATGCGGAGGAAGAGCCTGTCGTAGATGTCGTCGAAGTGGGTCTTGGTCGGGTGCCCGGATTGGTCTTCGAGCACGAGGGAGAGTTTGGTGGCAGACATTGGCGGAAGGGGCGGAGGAAAGGCCCCCCGAACGATGCGAGATGAAGACGGAGGACGAGGGATTCCCGTTGCCCGGGAACGAGGGGGAGGAGGTAGTAACCGAAGGGGGCGTGCGTGCGTGCGTGCGGCCGTGCGCTGGAACGAAAAGAGTGAGGTGAGCTCTATATATACGGGCGCCTTCGAGTACCTGCGTGGTAGCGTCGCCCGATTCCGACGCGATATTGCATATCGCTGTGCGCCGCTTCTTCGCGCGCACGAAGAACCTGTTCCTTCCCCACAATCTGCCGTATTTGGGTAAGCGCCCCGCACTGGCGCGCTTCCCGGCGACCATGCATCTTGCCGGAGGCACGACCGTGGGGGGGCTTCGGAACCGTGTCGAGACTCACTTGCACCCCATCAAAGAGAGAGCCGCATGAAGAGGCCTTCGTCATACATTCGTCCGTGTGCTATCGCTTGGCCGGTGGCGCGGGCTCCGATCGACGCCGACCGATATCGGCAGAGGTCAAACGAGAGAGATCACCGTATCCCGACATGCCCTCTTGCTCGATTCGCTGCGCCGATGCTGTGGAACGACGTGTCATAACGACATGGCACCTGATGCGGACGATCAAAATGCAAAAGACGAGGGGCGGCGTGCTGCTGCGGCTCAGTAGATTGCGAACCCTGTCATCTCGAATCTCGATGCGCCTTGTCGCTGCGTAGCGCCTCTGTGGTAAGTTCGAGAGAGACAGCGATGATCATGGGGCAACCGGGTGGCTTATCCCGGCCAGACAGTGTGAGAAGAGGGGGGGGGGGACGTGTCAGACTTGGTCGCAGTCGGACATTGGGGTGATGCGACACGTCGGGGGCTATACCTGAGACGGGAAGAGGAGTTGCACAGTGAATGGGGAGGAACGCGTCCTGTTCCGGATTCGCGGTGCTTCGCGCAGGTCGAAGTCGAAGCCTTGGGGGGGCGAGCGGCGCTGCCCCGGCGCGCAGACCCATCGAATCTGGGCAATCCGATGTGACAGCGACGTAGCGGGGCGGGGGATCGCTCTCAGTCCGCCGACAGCCATCGTCCAGCCAAGCTGCCCGTGGCCACGATGAGTATTGCAGTAACAATGATTCTGGCGCAGTTGAAGTTCTTCGGTACGTGCCTTCGCTACTTCCCACAAGCGGCATGCCCGACGTTTTGCACGTTCCTTGTTCCTGGGACCGTGACCACAGGGGAAACGATCCCTCCGACGTCGAGTCCTCGACCTCCTGCTCCTTCAGAGCCGTCTGTACCATGGAAAACCCACTCTCATGCACGCACACACCCACATCCACGCGGACCTCTCGCCGACTGCGAATAAACATAGAGCGGGATCCCGCAAGGAACGGATTCACAGCCCTATCTTCGAGACTGTGAAGAGCAGAACGGCTTCGCACGAGTGCGTCTGACCGAGCCCCCGTTCGTTACGCCGAGAGGATCTGAGGGCTCGTCCCGAGAGACGCGGGCACCAGCTGACCTTTGCAGAGATGCTTGTGGCGTTGATGCAAAAAAACGAGCCCATACCATGTGCGGGGTTCCGAGTACTGTAATTTTACGACCTTAGGTTCGGTCCGCCCCCGGGGGGACAGGGGACAGCTGCAAGTTCGGGCCCGTGGGAAGTTCGCAAACTGACTGTAGTCAGTGTGCAATATTCTCACAGTAGGAAATACAATTCCCACGGTCAGTTCAAGGCCTGGATATTGGTGGTGGGACAGGGGACAACATGGGAAATTAGGTTCAGTTCAGGTTGCCAGGGGACAGGGGACGAACCTAAGGTCGTAAAATTACAGTACATAGGTCGCGCGTCGCCCTGCGGAAGTAACGTTGGCGTTCTGGCGGTCGAGACCTGCCGAAAGACGAGGGTCAGAAGCAAATCAGCCCGGAGCTAAAGGCGTCGACGAACGTGGAGGCCAGTCCCACAGCAACACATTCACTGCCAGGGTTCCGCATTACGAATGAGGTTTGGATTACTTTTTCTACAAAAATCCGTATTTTATATAGAATGGCTGGTTCAGATGTGGTTGAGACATAAAATACAAACATACTCTCAACGGAATGATATATCCTTATAAAGCAGGTTACCTGCCATATAAGTATATATTACTTGTGCAAACTATCTTTGTATTGAATGTAACAATCACATTTGAACCAGCCATTTGATATGAAATATAGATTTCCGTAGAAAAAGTAATCCAGACTTATTTCGTCAACGCTCTTCCCACGCTCATTTGCTTGCTTGCGAATCACCCGCACCGAATCTGCTACATAACGGCTTGATACTGCTCGTCTGGTATTCTCCTGGGAATCGTATTCGACTTCGTACTGGCTCCCTGGCTCAAGTTATGGCCCGTAAATCAGACGACCCAGGCCGCACCGCACCGTTTTCCAACGCAAGCGAGGTTCGGACCGCGACCGTTTGCCATCCTCGCCCTGGGCTCAGCAAACGGGGCGTGTCCACGTCTCTGGGAGTTATAATGGAATGAAACCCACTCCGAGATGAAACAACCCCCGAGGAACCGACCCCAGTTACGAAATGAACGGTGTATTGATCGATAATATCTTCGCGTTTCGTCCAACGGTCTCGATGGGTAATCTATGTAAGTAGTATGCGCGCCCCCATACAGAACACACATCAAGCTCACGCGCACGGCCCTAACTCGGCCATAGACGCAGAGGACCCGGTTCAAACCGCCTAAAACTCCGGCCACGTCCGAGAATGCACCGTTGCTCTGGACGTGAAGGTGGAAAGGGGGTCAGGCATGACCAAACCTTGGCTTGCTTCACGAAGATTTGCCAGTCGAACAAAAAAAAGTCCGCGTCTCTCACCCCGCGACTGCTCGGAACTTACGCTGTGCCGTCAGGTGCCCCCCCACGCCTCCTCGCGCTCGCGGAAGAGACCAAAAGCGCACGCGCCGGGATCCGCGCAGCGATATACGCCCGCCGCCGTTATCGAGGCACAGCGCCGAGGCGTGGAGACGGGCCCTTATGACCGACCGACCGAACCCCCCGAACGATTCCCCACATGAAACGGAGACGCAACGTTCGTTTTCGGTCGCGCTGCACTCCATGTGACGGATCGTCTCGCAGATCTCGCGACGCGATGGAAGTAATATACTTGGTGCCCGCTCTGGATAGTAAAAAGGTTCCGCACCACCCCGTTATACCACCCCGCCTGAGCACGGTCGGCCGGGTGCAGCGTCCGAGATCTAAACCCACGGTAGGGTCGATGCTGGTGGAACTGCGGCGCATCCTGAACCCTGTCACAAGCCGGGCGCGCCGAGCACCAGAGGGCGTGCCATACACTCCAGGTTCGACAGCGATTTCCCCCGCACATCAAGACGGTCATTAAAGGACGCAGAAGAGAAGCGGCTTATGCATGGCCGCTCAACTCACACGTTCCCCAGTCATCCAGCGGGGCGCGAGCTCTTTCCCGCCTCCACGTCAAATTAGGGGGGGACACGCAGAAGACCACATCGATCTCCCTCATTTTGCGCGGGACACGGACCAATCTCGTCGCGAAGCACCGGGTCAGCTGAGCGTGGAGGGGAGGGCCAAGAGGCACAACGAATCTCCGATCTCATCCGTCCGCGTTAATTCCCACACTCATTTGCTTTGTGCTCGCGAACCCATTCGGGCACCGGATCTGCTGTGCGTTCGTCTGTCGGAAAATATTTTGGGTCTTATACCGCTCGTCTTCCTTCGCTCGTCTCGGGACAGACATATGGCTACTACGCACCGCAACCACACCGTCGAAAGAAAAAACCCCGGATGATCAGGTGCATCACATTCGTCGGGTTACCTTCTAGGCATCCCCCGACTGGCTCGGGCATCTCTTTCGATCCATCTATTGCCGCATTTCGAACGATGGCCGCATCAATGAAAAGGTCTCGAATAATCGGTCCCAAGGAACCAAACCCCTCGTTTTGAATGAAAATCCTACATTCAAGTGCCGACTGGTTCATTCAACGTTTATATGTCATCTTGGCCGGTTGTCTGGGCGCGCGTTCTCGTGGTCTAGTGCACGCCAATCCAGGACAAATTTTAATCTATGAGTCACGCCGCTTCACCCGTAAGTAAATCATTTACCGAGCCATGAGCGCGTAGAACCTCCTTGAAGCTCCCAATACGCGCCTAAACTCCGGCGCGGTCCGAGAATGCACCGTTGCTATGGTCCTGCGTGAAAGCGATCCATGGGGGGCCGGGGGGGGGGGGGGAATGACCAAAATCGAGGTTTTTGCTTCCACGAAGATCCCGTTTCTAGAGCCTCCAATCGCGCTCTCCTATAGTAGTTCGTCCAGAACTCCGGAAATTTCGTCAGATGCCCTGTCCTCGCGCTCACGGAAGAGCAAAAGGTATCAGCGGCGTGTCTGCGCTATGGTCTGCGCACCGATACGCCGCCGTCATTATCGGCGAACACGGTGGGCGAGAACGGCCCCTATGACCACTCGGTAGTAGTTCGACACACGACGTTCAGTGCACTCACTCCATGTGACGTCCCGGCAGATCTCGCGACGCAAATAGGTCCCCGCAACAGATAGCAAGAACGTTCCGCATCCCCGCCACACCCGCATAATATAGCATTCACACTCGGTACGGCACGGCCGGACTCGACGTCCGCAGATCCACGATCAACGATAGGTTGATGCTGGAAGGAATTGTGGCGCATTTTCTTGCGCAAACTCTGTCGCAAGCCGGGCGCGCCGAGAGACAATCCCATCATCTCAAAGAATCCCCCTTCGAGGATCTCAGGTCCGACAGCATCCCCCCCGCCCCCAGGACGGCGATCACGCTAAAGGAACGACACCTCGTGCCGCTCACCTGCAGGTTCCCAATCGCTGTGCGGGCGCAAGCCCCTCATGTCCGAGTACCATTCAACGTCCACGTCGAGTTCATGAGCGATCTCATGGCAATGGCATCGCGAAGCACGGGTCAGCTGAGCATACATACAAAACAGCGAAGACGCGCAACCCCTTCAAAACCCTGCGTCCACACATGCCCGCGTGCGTGCCGACTTCCCGCTCGAGATCCGCCACGGCAATATCCGCGGGTAGACCGCTCCAGTAACGAAGCGACCCGTCCCACCATCAGCCCCCGCCGGACGGCTCCCCAAGCCGGTGCTCACACCGGACCCAACGAGACCTTCAGGGACGGGAAGATTGAAGCGAAGAGGGGGTTCACCGCAGCGATCGATCGGCTATCCGGCAACCGTGCGCCCACCAAGACCTGACCGACGTACGCGGATGCCATGCGGGGCGAAACGATCACGAGTTGATCATCCCCGCGCTCGTCTTCGCGTCCAGGAAGAGCTCGCCCATCTCGCCAATGTCCTCCGCCTCGATCTGGCCCCGGCCCGCGAGCGTGGCGAGGATGGACGCCGGCGCGAGGAGCTGCAGCGCGTATCTGTTTCCATAACATCTACATGTCAGAGCCCGGCATCGAGAGAAAAAAGCACGAGAGCAAACGATGAGAACGCACCGCAACGAGCTCCGCTCGCCCTCTTCCGCGAGCCGGTCCAGCACGCCCTCGCCAAGCTTCAGCCCCTCGACCGCCGCGCGCACCTGGACCACGCGCGCGACCTGCTCGCGCGTGTATCCCTCCGTCTTGACGATCAGGCACCGGTCGAGGAGGTCGACCGGGATCCCGTGCGGGGCCACGATGTCCGTCGTACCCCGTACGAGCGAGTGGCCGCGGTTGGTGGCGAACACGACCGTCGGCGCCATGGGCGACTCGAGGAGCGCGTTGAGGTACGTGAAGCACTCGATGTCGAGCATGTGCACCTGGGATTTTGTGTCCGAGAACTTCAGAACGGAAAAAAGAGGGGAGGAAGGGCGGGCGTTACCTCGTCGATGAAGACCACGCCGGGGATGACCTCTGCCACGCCCTGGTCGACGTAGCCCTTCACGACCTTGTTCACCTCCCGCCGCAGCTTCTCCGTCACCTCCGTCCGTCCGCTCTTCATCAGGCTGCCCATCACGCTCATGATGTCCTGCCCGCCTGGCCGCGATCGATCAGCAACCCACAGGGCGTGGAACGATGGTCATTGCGTGACCCACCTTGCGGGCGGGCGTTGGCCGCGTCGAGGTCGCCGAGGGTCACGTCTTGCACGAGCTCCTTCCGTTTGTGCACGTCGCCTTTTGGGAGCGGAACGTACGTCTCGGACTCGAGGTCGTACGAGGACGCGTACGCGTCCGAGCGACCTACTCTCTGCGCAGAGCGTGGGTAAGTTAGACGAGGAAGCGAAGAGAGAGAGAGAGAGAACGCTTACCTTGACGGCCCCGGTGTTGGCTTCGATGTAGATCACGTCGCCGACGACGATCTTCTCCTTCAAGATCGCCTCGTAGATGGTGGGATCCAGCCGGAGCTGCTTTGTCCCTTTTACCTAAACATACAGATCAGCTCACCGAGAGACGATGCCGGTGAGAAAAAGAGAAGGGCGTGTCGTTACGTACGGTCTTGAGCCCGACGACGACGTGCGCGATCGTCTTCCCGTACCCGCTAAGCGGATTCTCCGACTCGGTCGGCGTGAGCTCGGTCACCTCGCCCTCGTACACCTCCTTCGTTTCCTTGATCCTCAGCCCTTTGGGAGATAGAAAAGGTAACGATGAGCGACTTTGACATCGAGGATTTTTGGCAAGCGTGAACACGCACCGATCGCGCGCCGGAACGCCTCCGCGAGCACCTCGGTCTTCTTCACCTCGGTGCTGTACACCTCCGAGCCGACCATGGGGCAAAACGGCACCTTCGCGCCGAGCTCCTGCGAGATCGCGAGCGCGAGCGCGGTCTTGCCGGTGCCCGGCGCACCAGCGAGGAGCAGCGCGCGTCCGGAGAACTTGCGCGACTTGATGAGGTCCACGACGACGCCGCACGCCTGGTCGACCGTGGTAAGCCCGATGGTCAATATAACGCTCGCGTTCCCGCAGAGAGTTGAGAGCGAAGTGAGATACGCACCTCTCGCGCGTTGTCTTGACCGATGAATCCCGCTCCATCCGTGCTCGCTAGACCTTCCGCGTCGAGTCCTAGCCCTTTGATGTGCGAGTGGGGCGCTATCCGCGACGAGCGCCCCGCAGAGGCTTGCGAGGGCGGCAAAGGCGCATTGTGCGCGACCGCTTTGGAGGTCGAGGCTTGCATCCTTTCAGGCGGCGGCTATAGCAGGAAAACGCGGGTGATACAGGTTGCCGCAGATATGCGCAAGTGAGAACGCAAAGATGAGGAAAAGCCAGGAGAAGTACACTGGGGCAAGACGAAACGACCGAACGACCACTGCACCACCGCAAACTCAGGTCGACGAGGGCATATCCACGTGACTCACAGTGAACGCCCCTTCGCGCCCCTTCGCTTCGCGACGTTCAGGTTCTCCTTTTCTCTCTTCCTCTGCTTGATCTCTAGCTGACTGAGTGCCGGGCTCTGTTTCTACGCGCTGTGAGGCTAGATACAAGGTTACTTGCCTGAACTATGAGCTCTTCTATGTCGGATCCGGACGGCAAGCGCCCCGGAATCCAGCTGGATCCCCATGTGGCGCACGTCTTGTCGGTTCTCCCGGACGCACAGTTCTTTACCGACGAACAGCAGCCCAAGACATACGAGAGCGTGAAGGAATACACAGCGAGACTGGAGCAACTCCGCGCCGTGGCCCTCGCGTCCCCGCTGTCGCAGATGCTGCCGCACGATCTCCTTCCCGTCGATGCCTGGACTTACTCCTGCCTGTCCCAATCAGAAAGCGCACAGTCTCCCGGTCGACTCGTACAAGATATTATGCAACCAACTTCAGCTTGCGCGGGTATTGCGAAGATCACGCTCCGGGCGGTTATCCGGGTCCATCGCGACGCTCCCTCCCAAGTGTACAAAGGTAGCCTGCAGACCGCATCCGGGGATAACCAGGACGTCTGCGTCAAGGTATATCAACAGAGCCTAGATTACCTCCGAGACTCCTCGTACTTTCGCGAACATTACTGGTGTGGTACCGTTCATAAAGTTGCTATCGAAGCCTGGGCGTACCGCGAGCTGGCATCGCTGCAAGGTAACGAGGGGTTTCCTTCTATATACAGGAATTACTGCTTATCACAGGACGTCATTCGTCTTCGTTTGCAGGCGTGTTTATACCACGTTCGTTAGGCTTATACAAGGTTCGAATGCAGCTTCTTTTGCCTCAGGTCCATTACGCTATTCTGACGCCAGCTACAAGATATGTCTCCCGAACGGCGAACCTTCGATTTCTCATGTGCTGGAATATTTCCCCGGGAGCCCGCTATCTGAGTGGAGGGTAGAAGCAGTGGAGAAACGCCTTGGATGCACGAAATACCAAATGGTGCGCCGGTCTTACGCCCGTATAAATCCTCTAACGACATGATCTGATCGACGTAATAGGTCGAGTATCTCCTCGAACAGATTCACGCCATGCACGTGCTCGGGATCGTCCATGAACATCTATCCCGCAAGAACATCGTCCTGCTGGAGCGACCTCTCGGAGCCGACCCGCGCTCGGCCCTGGCCATCGTCGGGTTCAGTCGCGCTAGGCCATTCAATGGAAAGAACGCGGGCACCGACGGCACCCGGTCAGCATTCCCCCCGCATCTTGCTTATGCACCTCGCGCGCCACGCACGCGGCTGACCCTGCCCCTCTCGCGCCCAGCATGCTCCAGCTTCTGTACGATTGGGCGTATTGTAACCGGGATGGTATCAAAGAATGGTTCGAAGCGCGCGCGTCAGCGAGCCCGCGTCCGCCGTGGCTCGCGATGTTTTCCGGCAAGGGTGAAAAGTCGGTTTTCGTGGCCTGGAACAAGGATTGCCGACTGAGGGAGATCATAGAAGATGACATTGAGAATTACGGGCCTGGGCGACTTATTCATTACCGGGCTTGAATCCGGCTCTCGTAAAAGTGCATTATGCGCTCACTTGCCGCCGTGGATGATGTACTGGCACAGAATTCCGTCCATAATTGCGACCCTGAGGCATCGCCCGCTGCTTGGCTTTACTCGTCCCTGAGGCCCTCGCGACCTTCCTGTTTGTGTGAAGAGGGTGTAGGATAATCATCGGCGGTCATTGGCGTTGGCAGAAACGGTGGAGTGGGGAAAGCGTGAGAAATCGAGTGTCGATGAAAAGAGCGAGCCTGCCGCCAGGCGACAACTCGTAACCCACATCCGCCATGAACCTCGACGCATGGGCCAGTCAGGTTATCAGCACCCTACCTGACAACCGTATCTTTGTAGACCATGATGTTCCGTGTGACGTCCCCTCTGGCAAACGCTACATTGCGGAGCTAAAACGACTGCGTCTACCGTCCACCAATCGCAGGCCTACCCACCAATCGCTCCCTTGTACTCTCCGCTTAAGCAATTCTTGGACTTATTCGCTGCAAAACGTATCCGACCGTGTTCCAACATATCGATATAGACCGACTCTCTTCTCAAGTGACGATCTGACCACCGCCGAGCTTCGAGAAGCGGCTGTCACCCTCAACCAAGTGGTCCGGGCGAAACGCGACACACACGCTCAGGTCTACGGAGGCTTCTTGCATGTCGGTCCTGAACGGCCCCGAGAGGTTTGGGTCAAGATATATCAGCAGAGCTTGTACTCTTTGCCAAATATCGACTTTTTCGACAAAGACAGGAATTGCGACGATGTTGGGTTACGCACCGCTCGTTACGACGCAGGCGTGGAGGCTTGGGCGTACCGCAAGACTTCGCCCTTACAAGGTATGTGATCGTCCTCGTCGTCATTCTTTGAAACTAAACAGAACTTTTCGCATGCCATTTAAGGCTCGTTCATACCTTACTCACTTGGATTTTATGAGGTAACCATCTAGACTTGGTTTCTATAGCAAATGGCTCCTAACAAAATGCTCAGATACACCTTCCGAGCGGAGAAAATTGCGTTGTTCACGTTATCGAGTCTCTACATGGAGTACCTCTGGCTTCTTTCAAACGGCGTGACGACCTAGAACGGCGCTTGGGATATCGCGTGATAGACCTCGTGGGTCATTTTATGCGTCAGATGACGACCATTCTCACCGCCGCATACCGCGCAGGTGGAGAATATGCTGGAGAAAATCCTACTAATGCACGAACTCGGAGTAATACACGAAGACTTGCACCCAAGGAACATCATGCTGCTGCACCAAGACCATAGCCCCCTGCCCTCTATCTGCATCATAAACTTCGTTACGGCAGAGCCGCCGCATCCCTTTTACGACAACGTGCACGCAGATTTGTACTGGTGAGCCTGTGAGCATAGCTTTGACTGTCGTGATGCGAGTAGTGATACGTCTGTAGCTTGTTAGACCTTCTCGAGAGATATCGCGTGCCGATTGGGTGTGTCGAGGCGTGGTACGCGAAGCATGCTTCCTCGCATCCGCACCCTCTATGGCTCTCTTTGTTCACGAGTCAGGGAGGAGAGGGCGGACATTGGGACCACTGGCATGAAACGATACGGGATCGCGAGGAACGAGGAGTATGGAAGTCCCTCGACTATTAGCCTGGAATGAGGCTCGCGTTCAACTTTCGGAGAACGTTTCGATGGTGGATAGGCAGCATGGTAAAGTGCAGGAAAATATCAGACAAAAGGATACCAGATGTACGCGGTTGATGTTTGTAGCCGCCCAAGAGGTCTACCCTAGTCTGTATACCTCATGCACAACCTGGGCGTCGCACATGAGGATATGTCCTGGGACAACATGATCCAACTCCCTGAGACGGTTACAGGGGGATAGAGCACACACGCACTTTCCGCCTTGATCGTGCTTGACTTCGAACTATCTGAGCCGCCGAACCAGGGCAATTGTTCGAAACCGAATGAATCGACGGACGACGTCGATGATCGCGCCGTTCCAGGATGTTTCGCCTTCTGGAATGCTTGCAGGCGCCGGTGTACGAGATAGAGACTTGGTTCGGCGGCCATACCGCTTCCGAGCCGAGACCGGAGTAGTTGACGGTTTTCGACGGGTTCCCGATCGATCTGGTGCTCTACGCGGCGGAACAAGCACATAAGTAGCGCGAAGCATTCCAGGGTGGAATGATAGGAAGGACTCTGTGGAGGTGTCAATACCAGCTAGCTGTCACCGAGCAGGGAATGAGCCAATGGATCGCGCGGGGTTATATGCGCCAGAGTGAAGACTCGTTCGATTGTCGAGCATCGACTCAAGAGCGTACGGGTGAACAGCAGTGAATCTAGATATTATCGTGTATGTAGAGAGCTTTCACAGTGGAATTCATGTCATCAGATCGACCCATTGTTTAGTCTGTTAGCGATGACAGCTCTGAGTAATACGTCAATGGAATGAGGACGAGAGAGACGCCGGAGAGTTGTCGGCTACGCTCGATCACGCATCCGAAGAGTTGGGACCGAGCCTGCGCAGACGCGAACGTGGCGCTCCGTGTTCACCTTCCAAATCCGTCCTCTCGCATTGTCGCTTCGGCAGTATATCCTCCTCCTACTCCTCCTCCTTCATTTCCTCTGTGCTTGTTACTGCGTTATTGCTGCTGCATTGGCTGCTCGGTCCTGCACAAAATAATGCGCCTTCGCGCCCTGATTCTTCCGCTCCTAGTGGCGTTTCTCGCCGGGGCCGACCCCAGCGCAGACGGCACCGGCTCCCTGACACCACCGACACTACAACCTCTGATCAACCGCGCCAACGCGTTGCTCTCAGCGGGCCACTACGCGGATGCAGCGAAGGCTTACTCTGACGCCATCGGTAAGTCTGCCTCATCTCCCCGGTGTGACGCCCTATGCTCATTCAGGACATCGCGCAGAGCAATCCCCGGCAGACTACGTGCTCTACTACAAGCGCGCGACGGCCTACTACTCGACCTCGCGCCACCCGCAGGCGCTCGCCGATTTCCAGAAGGTGCTCGACCTCACCCAGGGCACGTTCGACAAGGCCCTCTTGCTCTCCGCGCGCATCCACGCCAAGGACGGCGCTTTCACCCTCGCGCGTGCCGCCCTCGCCGACTTCAACCGGAAAGTGACCGGAAGCAGAGAGGCGGCGCAACTCGCGGCGGACGTACAGGCCGGGGAGGAGGCCGCGAAAAAGGCGGAAAGGGCGAAGAAGGCGACGCTGTGGACGGCGTGCGTGGAAAGCGCGAGCGAGGCGTTGGCGGTCGCGAGCCATAGTGCGGAACTGCGCGAGATGCGCGCGGAGTGCGCGATCGCGAGCGGGGATGTCGAGCTCGCCGTCGGAGACCTCACGTACGTCCCTTTCCCTTCCCTTTTCCCTTCCCCCCTTCCCGCTTTGCTTCCCGCAACCACATATCGCTGACATGCGCATCCTTGTCCACAGACGTCTGACGCACCTCACCTCGCCCTCGCCCGACCTCCTCATGCACATCTTCCGCCTCACCTACTTCCTCACCCCCTTCTCCCCCGCGGACCCGCACCCGGCCGCGCTCAACACGCTCAAACAATGCCTCCGCCACGACCCAGACTCGAAACCGTGCAAATCCGCGCACCGGCTCGTCAAATCGCTCGACAAGTCCTTCGCCAAAGTCGACTCGCTCCTCGCCGGCGAAAACTGGCGGGGCGTGGTCAACCACGTGGTCGGCGTCGGCGCCGCCGCCGAGAAGACGTACCCGGGCGCGGAGCTGCTGAAGACGTTCGAGGAGCTGCTCGCGGAGCATTTCCCGCCGGCGTCGAAGGACGCGCTGCACGTCGAGGCCGCGCGCGCGTCCCCCCGCCGCGCGTACCTCCTCCGCGCCGCGTGCAAAGCCTACGTCGGGCTCAACCGCGCCGCCGCGGGCGAGGCGCACTGCTCCCGGCTGCTCGCGATGGACGGGCGCGCGGAGGACGTGGACGGCCTGATCGGGATGGCGGAGGCGCACGCGGCGCGGGAGGAGTGGGAGGAGAGCGTGCGCGTGCTGGAGAAGGCGTGGGAGGCCGGCGGGAGGAGCGACCGGAACGTGATGCAGAGGCTGCAGAAGGCGCAGAGGCTGTTGAAGCAGAGTCGGGCGAAGGATTATTACAAGGTGCTCGGCGTCGCGCGCGACGCGGACGAGAAGACGATCAAGCGGGCTTAGTGCGTTTTTTTCTTTGCGCTTTTGACATCCTCGAGGAAGATGACCGTTCGCTGATGGTACGCTCTTTGGTGCAGCCGGAAAGCGACGCTAAAGGCGCACCCGGACAAGGGCGGCTCGGAGGCGCAGATGGCGGCCGTTAATGAGGCGTATGAGGTCCTCTCCGACCCCGAGCTCCGCCGTCGATTCGACAACGGCGACGACCCGATGGACCCGACCTCAAACCAAGGTGGACATCCATTCCAGCAGGGTGGGAACCCCTTCGGCGGTGCCGGAGGGCATCCGTTCGCCCAGTTCTTCCAGCAGGGCGGCGCGCCAGGCGGAGGCAGCTTTTTCGGTGGCGAGGGGTTCAATTTCAGGTTCCAGCATGGGGGAGGAGGCAGGGGGCATTGAGGTGGTGGAGCCCGAGGACCGGAGTGGAGGAGGGGGAGGAGGTAGAGTCGGCGATGGACGTATACGACCATCAGCTATGTATTTTGTACCACGATATCTCAGCGCTGCTTATATACGCTCATCTTCAGAGGACGCTCGCGTGCCCGCGTCATGTAGGAGAAAAAAGGTTGCGTACGGCGCACCGTAACCAGTTTCTCGATTACAACGGTGGTACAATACTTTTCACTGGTGGATCACGACCGGCATTTTGCTGTCCGCTTGTTCGCTGTCCAGTGCAGGGGAGGCACAGAAGGGTGGCCGTGGCTCCTGTGGGGCGTGCGAATTTTTGTTCTTTGTTGTATAAAAGGCCAGTATGTGGCAATCGCCCCCGTATTCCTCTCTTCTGCATCTACCTCGACTACCTCCCGCCCTCGTCGCCTATAATCATCATGTTGCCTTGTCATGTCATGTATCCGCAAACGTCGCTAACCATGCCCAGCCTCTGGATATTACCGATGGACCGATGCCGCTCGACAACAGCCTACGCCACATAACGTGTCGACCTTCTCTAGGTCTCTGTGAGCTCTGTCTTTCACTTTCACGGCATCGAGGTATCTGACAATAGCTATTACACGCCTATAGCCGCTCGACCCTCTTCAAGAACGATCTCGTACACCGTGTAGGGCCGTTGCGCCACATGAAGATCGCGACCATTGTGCCTCACCCCTGGCCTCTTGGTAAGCATCGACTTTACGGGTTACGGACTCAGCATTGACCGTGGACGTACCGCAGCCGAATGACCGAAGGCACGCCGCTTCCATCAATTCGATCGCCACCTGCGCCACACAAGATCCTCAAGCCATCGTACCTCAAGTTGGACTGTCTGCTACCGGTGTGACATCAAGACCTTCCTCAAGTATAGTGTCCTCAAGTCCTCAAGAGCATCAATACTCCTCAACGCCTGGAAGAAGATGGTTCTGGTCTCTTGGCTCCTTGGCTCCTTGGCTCCTTGGCTTCCTGGCTTCGACCCTCAAGCACTCGCAATGCCTCAAGAGACTTTTCCTTTAGAATGTGGCCCTTCTTAGACTATGTTTCGGCGCTGTTATGCTTTGGCTTGGTACGTCTGGCGACACCACAAGACATCAAGACCATCAAGGGTTCGACAAGGGGCCGCGGTAACCATCGACAAGAAGATCGGCGAAGGCTTACGCAAGATCATCAAGCTCAACCTCAAGCAACCTCAAGCATCTAGTCGACGGCGTACGGGCAATGTGTGTGATTCAAAGACCAAGATCAAGCGGCATGTTTCTCTCGGCGATCGTTCTGACTGGCTTCAAATCATGGCAACATCTGGCGCGAGGAAGAGGCTGGCGAGATTTTGGTGGCGACGACTGACTCTTGGCGGTTATTATAGCGTACCCCCCGGTGAACGATCAGCAAATCGTGCGACCCTCAACCTCCTGAAGACGAAATGCCTTTTCTACCGACACTTACGTGAGCCGCTTCCTGCTCATATTCTCGTATTCTTCCTCGTTGCTCAGCGTAGACTCACAGCCGCACAAACTGAAGATCCTCCGCCCGCCCGTGAGTGCTTCCCGTCTGTGGTGTCCGATCGCCTTCCAGCATGCTCCACGTCGGCCGTCTGAGCGGACTCCTTCGGGAGAGCCAAAGACCAGACTGGTCATAATTTTTCGTCATACCCTCGGCTTTCGCGGCCGTTTTTTGTTTCGCTCGCTACGCCGTTCAATGTATAATGCACGGAACAGGCATCGCAGCCCGCTTTGTGCGCGGCCACGATGACCTCGCATCGCTTTCGCATGTATGCAAATGCCATAGAATGCTTTCGATCCATCCCGATGGCGTGAGGCTTTAGCTCAAGCTACCGATTGAGATTAGGGACAATGAAGCGGCTGCCTTCATCCGAAGAATGGAGGTCGGCGATACTGCCATGCAAGCAAGAACTCAATATCGCGCCAGGCGGTCGAGCATGTTGTTATGCGCGAGAGCGTGCAGTTTGTACATAATGGCACTGTCAGACGCCCCGGGCGTTTTCTTTCCAAACCCTTCTCATATTCCACATCTTGAAATATGCGTCATCTGCATCCTGAGCGCAAAACATCGAAAGCCACTCCGGGCGTGGGGTTGACGTAGCGTGACGCATATACCATTCTTCAATATCCTTCAATAGAGCTGATTTACAGCCAATAATATTTATCTACGGAAACTTCGGTCAACTTGCTTCTCCACCAATGAGAGGCCGCGAATTGAATTCGTCGCTAATATTTATCAGCTGCAAATCAGCTCTAATGGAACTTCGAGATTTCGTAGGAGTTCCGTAACGCTGTCACCGACTAAGCCTGCACAGTTTTTATAGACTTCTATAGCACAGTTTACGCCATCGTGAAACTGAGTGCCTTCATCGGAAGGTTCAGCCCGTACCCTCGTCTATGGCGCAGCTGCAGGGCCCGATTCCCATGAAGGCTACCTGCCGGACTGCAAGCTCAGTCCTACGGGCGGTCTCACCAAAGGCGAACCGGGAAAGAAATTGCAGCAGCAGGTGTGGAACGAGCTCCGAGGCAAGCTTGAGGCTGTCAAGCCCGGAGTGACGACGTTGTCCTGATCCAACCCTCTCTTTATCCTTCGGAGCTCTCACGCCATCGGAACACGAGAACGTCCGGGAAACTGTATTATAGAATTTGGATGGCTACGACCCGGAGCTACGTGTCTTGTACTATGTTATTCGGTGATGATCTTTACTTCCTTGATCGCATTGGACACGGTGCCTTCGGGGAGATAGTGGTGCGACGATGTTTCTTCCGAAAAGTCGCGCGATCACTTAATTCGCAGTTTCGTCTACTTTCAGCTCTACATTTCGGTGCTCTGGGAATCATGTCTGCAACTGCAACTTTCATGATCTACATAGTATGGCTGACAGCCTGGTGATACGTATTGTGAGCAGTGCGTAGCAGCCTGTAGTAATGACATTGTACTGATGAGTCATCCTTTGAGATAGTGTCACCGAACTGCGTCGGCACTTGGGGGGAATAATATGGGCCGTTCCTGTTTAGGTATGGTATGGTATGGGATTAGGGATCTAGGCTCATAAGTAATCTACCACCACCGTTGGCGATTAATAAATAACTGATCAGTGATTCGCTCACCCGTGCGTATTGACGTGCGGTGCGGCAACCGGTTGTCCCGCTATTGGGACCGCGCCGGAAATATACCTACCTACCTACCGTGAGAAATCAACCACAGGTTGCGTCCCTCGCGTGTACCTCGTCGTGCTTTGTCATTACTCGAATGCTTGCGCGTTTCGCCGACGTCGACGCGTCTCCCCGGCACGCAATCCTAGGCAAATCACCGATTTGTGATCATACATCCTGGATCGCTACTTGAGAGCATGGACGTGTCGGTGAATTTAGACGCGTCGCCGCTATGTCTTTCCTGGTCACCTTCATTGACCGTCAATTCGTCCACAACCGCCCTGCGGAACCCACATTCTCCTTCGAAGGCCAGACCGTCATCGTCACAGGAGCGTCATCTGGCTTGGGCCTCGCTGCGTCTCAAAAGTTCATCGAACATGGCGCGTCCTCCGTCATCCTCGCCTGCCGCGGACTACCCAAGGCCGAAGCCGCCGCCGACGCCATCCGCAAATCCACGGGCTGCGATGCAAGTCGCGTTCGCGTCATGCACCTCGACTTAAGTTCCTATGCGTCCGTCCTCGAGTTCGCCACCCGCGTCACCGAGGAGCTCCCCCGGCTTGATGTGCTCTTGCTCAATGCGGGCGTGACGCCCTTCTCATGGGCGACAACGGAGGGGAACGAGGAGACCGTCACTACCAACGTCGTATCTCTCGCGCTTCTCGCGCTTCTCCTTCACCCCAAACTTTCACAATCGGCGAAGGAACACGGCGGATATGCTCACATCACCGTGACCGGTTCGGAGATGTACAGATACGCAAAGTTCGAGGAGCGCGACAAGGCGGGAAAGGACGGGATCTTCGCAGCACTGGCAGATGAGAAGCGATCGAACCTATCCGACAGGTACAATACATCCAAGCTCCTCGCGCTGTTCGTTGTGAAGCAGATCGCTGCGCTCTCGCCCGTGGCCCAGAGCCGTGTCATCGTAAATAGCGTTTGCCCGAGGTGAACACGTCCTCGTTAACTCTCCGGCTCGCCGCGCGACTGACCTACCCGCTTATATAGCTTCTGCATGAGTGACCTCGCTCGTGGATATGGCCCCCTCAACCCCGTCACTCGCGGCTTGATGCGTGTGGTAGCCCGACCGACCGAGGTCGGAGCCCGCGTACTTGTCTACGGTGCTGGAGCTGGTCCTGAGACTCACGGCGCTCACCTTCCGGATTGCAAGCTTATTCCTACGACCGCCCTCACTGAGGGTGACGCGGGTAAAGAGTTGCAGCAACGCGTGTGGGAGGAGCTGCGAGTGAAGCTTGAGGCGGTCAAGCCCGGAGTGACAAACTTGAGTTGATTGCTTTCGTTCGGAAGTAAACAACTGCTTTCCTCTCTACACTCTAGATTTATCGGTTACCTAATTGTGGGGACAGCCTTTTCTGCGAGCTGGCCTTGCGAATGCAATGCCCTGGCTTCATACGCCCTCGTACCATTTTTGACACGACCGAGTCCGGCGTAGTCATATCAAGCCCGCACAGATGGGTTGCAGTCTCCCGGACAATTCAGCGATCCTTGACTTGGCGCTGTTCAAGACGGGATATGCATCGAGTACAGGAATCGCCGCATCCGGGCTATTTGGGTCTCATTTCGCTTCCTATTCCGGGCTTGATGTACCGTCCATTCTTATGCGGAAAGCACTGGCCTCCATGCGAGAAATATACCATGTTGCCTCGCTAGAGAATCGAAAAGCCTGGTCAGCCACCGAAAGGCCAAGATGAAACATCTGAGTACCTGACAAGTTGTGTCCATCACATAGTCGAGCGTAATATCAAGGTTCCGTGTTGTTCAATTGAGTACAGTCTAGCCATACTGGGCCTACAGATTGTCGCAAGAGTACCAAGTGAGAGGCAGCTTCTGATATCTTTCCTGTGATCGAACCGTACAAGCGTGTTCCCACGGTGCTCAGTTTATCCTCTTCCTCAAGCGCCCAGGGTCGTGGCAACGGCGACCGGGGCCTTTTCGCCTCTCCATTCGTTGCTCTAGCCTAGCATCGAGCTCTTTGCCGACATGCCCGACAATCCGCCCTCTCTTTCTCTCTTCCACCATCGCTCTGCCCGGTCTGCGGGGAGGACTGTGTATCGATAGTACCCTCGCTCTTCCTGGTCGCTCGACGCGCAGTGAAGTTGCAGCAATGGTCCTCCGGCTAAACGCCCCGCGGCTCCGTATCGGCTCGTACATTGTTCTCGTGCGTACTTGATCTCTCATCTTTGCGGCCTGTTTCTGACTTGGTCGCCGTTGCGCGGTGCTGGATGTAGTGGGTGTTCTCGTTCATCCTGTTCTGCCTATGCGCGGCCAGGCTGCACTACACCACGAACTTGCCCAAGGGCGATACCCTGAACGGCGGGCGGGACTTCTTCGGTGCGCGCCCATCACTCTCGGATCATCTTTGGTGTCAATGCTGACTTCCACGCGCAGACAGCGTCGTCGTGGAGATGCTCGTCTGCACGCTGCTTGCGTTCGGATTTATTCCCTTCGTGTTAGCACACATTTCATTTCATCGCCCTTTCAGATGGCTAGACTCATGGAGATCTCTTCATTTTAGGCTCAACTTGATCGATGCCTCGCGCTGGTTCGACCACCCGCTCGCCACGCCCGTCAACATCGAGGCCGCTGCACTCTCCATCCTCAACCTCATGTGGTTCGTTGGTGCTGCCATCACTAGCGTACGTCCCGCTTCCCCCTCCCTCCGCACTCTTTTCACTTACACCCCTCTCCTCTGCTTCATTCCTACCTCCCGTCGGATTCCTATCCTACAGAGCACCTTTGGCGACCTCACCTGGTGCGACCCGCTGTACGAAGCCTGCCGGGTCCTCACCGCACTCCAGGCGTTCGCCTGGCTCTCTTGGGTTGTGCTCTTCGCACTCCTCGCACTCGCCTTCGTCGGCCTCTTACGCGCCTCGCGCGCTGGCGCGCCGCACCGGATGTCCGACAACGTCGACAAGTCGCTCCCTGCGGAGCCTAAGGGGCCTGAGTTCATCTCAGTCGTCTAACCTTGGGCATTGTTCTTCTGTTCTGCCGTGTTATTCTGTATTGCCTTCTTTCATTCTCTCTGTCAGTCGCTTCTCGGCTCGGGCCGCTTTACGCATTGCATGTTCACGAGGTCGCGAAGATCTCTACAGCTGTCGCATCTGCTTGTATTATGTTATCGAGATCTTCCTCGAGATACAATGTAATCTCGCTGTACCTCGTCGTTCTATCCTATTATTTGCGAACTTTGCAGTACACGTGCCCCAAACTTCAGCATATCCACGGGCCTCTGAGTATCGGGACTGTCAAAACATTCGAAGCTATCTTTCCCCCCAACCGAGTAAGTTGGACCAGGGTATGGCAAATCCTCTGACGCATCATATGTCGACCTCGCATCAGCGGCGGCCGCCATTTCCGGATTCCGGTCGTCCTGGTTCGAGCACGATAACTGCCAGATAGCTTTGGTGTCCAGCACGTGAGGCAACGTCTCCCAGAGTGGTTTTGCAAGGGCAGCTGTACGACGACGCTCCAGCTTGTCTATATAGCGCAGGCCTCTTTGATAGTCCTGAGGAGAGTTCTGATCAAGGAAGAACTTCTCTCGAGGCAGGTTCTTCAATGCATGTTGAACGTCGGGATGGACGTACATGCTGGTAGGAAGACAGGCGCGTGACGTAGCCGATTCTGAACTGAGCACCAAGGACTCGGAGCCACAGCAACAATACGCCTCGAAATCGAGGGCTTCTGTACTATAATCGTCGAAGGTATGTTGACGAAAGCTCATATAGACATGCACGAAAGTTGCCCATAGCTGTTAGCAAGCAGCGCAGGCGATGCGCGGTGGGCGGTGGAAGTAATAAAAGCATAGCCATGAGTGGCGGAAGCAAGAGAACATGCATAATTCAAGCCCTGTTCAGCGTTCGTTCGAGCTTACCATCCTTCGGCAGATCGTGGTTCTCGAGTTGTGACGAATGATTGCAGTAGTTTCTGCCTCGCAACTGAGCTCGAGGAGCTACGTACAGTGAACCTCGGCAACGTCGGCGTCAACTTTCCGCTGGACGAGGCGGACGCTGCACTGGTGGACGAAGGTGATATGTTTTCGGCAATGGTGGATCGAAACCGTGCAGTGTATGAATTAAGATACACCAACAAAGTCTTTGTCAATTCCAGAAGAAGACTGCTTCGATGACAACAATGACTGTCCAGAGATATGACGCAGCGCGCCCCAAACTGCGGCCATCGAAGCTTGGGCTTACCGTCAACTAAAATCGTTCCAAGGTACGCAAGTACGAATCATACCCGGCCCGCATCTGAACTGTCTCTAGGATCCCTGATCCCTTACTCATTTGGCTCCTACAAGGTTGTTCACTCTCATTTCTCAATGATGACTGTGCTGATGAACCACCAGATTCGCTTGCCAAATGATGAAATATCCATTGCGCATGTTCTGGAGTATCTAGATGCTATGCGGCTATCCGAGTTGGATGGGATCACTATCGAGCAGCGTAGTCGCTGTGATATCTTTGACGTCGTGAGTCTTTTTTTTGCATTTTGCCTCATATCGTGCGATTGACTTCTGCAAAGATCGATGACCTACTGTCAAAACTGCATCAAATGCACACAATGGGTGTCGTACATAGCGATATAAACTGGTATAACGTCATGTTGATCCGACAGATTCCAGGCGACAATCCGACGGCTGCGGTTGCAGTGATTGATTCCAACCTGTCTCAACCTTCGGAAGAAAGCAACGAGTTTCACCGTGACGACACCTTACAGTACGTGATCGCATTCCGTGTACAGTGTACACATACTTACTCGGTGTTAGTACCATGGGGCTTCGTCTAAAGCTCAAAGTGCCAATGAAGTATATCGAAGTATGGTGTATGCGTTGCACTATATCAACGCCATGTCCACAGTGGTTTCCGATGTTCTTTGCTCACGGCGACGACAACGCGTACTTCAAGGCATGGCAGATGAGGACGCATTGGCTAGAAAATGAGATGTCTAGTGGTGCCACAAACAGAACTAGCAATACAGCGCTGCATATATGGAATTAAGCGAATGGATAAGAGTTTCCGCTTCTGGCACGTACAGCCGAAAGTACTAGTAGGGAGCTGTATCCGTCTTACGTGGCCCTGATATATCGATAAAGAGTTCTAGAGATAGGCTAAGTATTGGATATGGCTTGAGGGTTTCCGGTACAGCCAACACTAAGTCTAATAAAAATTAGGATTATGAGCTCAATATTCTCACCTTCCGCACCGTTAGACGCAGTAAAATTGAGCCCGCACTAATTAGTTGCGGGCTCCCGGCCAACTCAGCCACTCGTTGAAAGGGTAAGACAGGCTATATACATCGAGGACAGGAATAATTTATCTATTGACATTCACATCGTGATACATCCCCGTTGTGTAAGCTATCAGTTTGCGATCTCGCTCACCGAAAACTCGATATAAGATATGTATGAAGATTGGAACAAGTTGTGTCCATCCCATAGTCATGATCAGGCTCGATGGCAGGTTTGGTGTTGTTCAAGTGGTCCGCAACTAAGTACTTGCGGTTTGTGATACATTCTTTCCCGCGGTACTCAGCTATTCTCTCGTGTTATTATTCCAGGGTCTTTTCATCGGCTGCCGGGGTCTTTTCTCCTCCTCCATTCTTTGCTCCAGCCCATCACCGAGCCGCTCACCGACATGCCCGACAATTCACTCTCTCTTTCTCTCTTTCATCGCGGTACCCAGTCTGCGGGGAGGATTGTGTATAGATAGTACCATTACTCTTCGTGGTCGCTCGACGGGCAGTTGTATTTCAATCACGGTCCTCCGGCTGGACGCCCTACGAACTCGTCTCTGCTGGTACATTATTCTTGTGAGTGTCTGATCTCTCATCCCCTGCGGCCTGTTTCTGACTTGGCAAACATCGCGCGATGCTGAATGCAGTAGGTGGTCTCGTTCATCCTGTTCTGCCTCTGCGCGGCCAGGCTGCACTACACCAAAATTTACCTAAGGGCGATACCCTGAACGGCGGGCGCGGCTTCTTCCACGGTGGCGTTCATTTCGGGGGAATTTCCCCAGCGCATGAGGTGAAAGTCGCCTTTCACCCGCAAATCAGATGAACAGTGTGGAGTGCGGGTGAAATGGATTCGTCCGGAAGTGAGGTGATTGAGATCTAAACACCACCACATTGACCTCTGCAGCGACTCTACCTGCATGTACCATGCATTTGTCGTTTGGGGTATCGAAAGGAGAGTCGCACTCTGTCGCTGCCGTTCCATTCATAAGACGATAACGATAACTATCCGCATAGCCCTACTTATTACAGGTCAAATTTGTGATCTTTAAGTGCCATCCATATGAAGAAGGCGGTGAGCTCCCTGGTCGACAGTTCGCCGTCTGCGGCAATAGGTGAGGACTCGGTGCGCTCGCTGAACGTTGCAACAACTTGACAATGATGCTCCATCCTTCCGTCTATTCTATTCAGCTTGCCGATCTTGGCGTTCTTGCGATTATAAACCTTGAAATCTCTGACGTTTGCTGTCTGGCCCATACCCCAGCAATGGCCATCCCAGGCCATGCCGACAACCACTCGACTATCGCCATGGAGAATATAAGGCACCTTTTTCCCAAAGACATACCTAAACACAAGGAATCGTTTTGGAAGGCATTGGAGCTACAAGTGATGAACTTACTTGCGGAGTTGCGGCGTTGAGGAGGCAAGCCGACCGTAAGTGTGATAATAAAGTTGCGAAACTTCCAGTTCTCCCTCTGCTTGTTCCGAGGTAAAAACCAAATCAGACTTCAAGAAACCGAGCGCCTGTGATGCATTTACTATGGTATCTTGAGTCGTATAAAACCTGCATATATACCTTATCCTCCCATAAAACAAGAGGCATTGCATCGCGGTCGAATTTCAGAGTTGTTGGATCCCAATGTTCGTCAGGAACGCCTTCACCTCGATGGAGCATGATGGCATGATCGACAGTATCACCACTCGATTCATCCGTGCAATATTCTCCTCGATAACTGAGACGTGCACGCTGGTCATCTCCAGTCTTCCTTAAATGATGTTGAAGCCAGTCATCCATAAGATGCACCACCGGGTGCAGAACGTTGACAGTAGTCCAAGCCCTGGTATCAAAGGCTCATTACTTTGGGGACATGAACAAAAGCGTAGATTTACATACTTGACGTCGCCTTCGGAGACTGAGTCTTTATTTCTTAAGGCCTCAAAGCTTATAACCTTCCCAGACTCTTGCTCATAGCGACGTAATGAGCTTCGAAACTCTTCTATGGGCCAAACTGGCTTGCGAAGGAAAATCTTGTCCTTCATAAACAAGTCCGTAGTGATGGCTTGCGATGACGAGTAAGATTTCTTGGATTCTGCGTCGCTGAGACCGCGGCATGATTGAAGGCGCTCTCCCAGAAGACGCGATGGAAGCTTGACGGACTTCGCTGCCTTCGTGAAATTCTGTGCTCTAGCTGCTATGTGCTGGCTGTTCTTGGTGTGAGCATGCAGACGTTCGAGAAGCGGTACAACGTAGTCCAAATCTGAGTCGGTCAGGCTGAAGAGCGCGTCCACTAGCTTTTGATTGCCAGACGAGGCTCGTACAGCGCTTTCCAGGGATTCCATAGTGTATGAATGTGCGGAGAGAGGATGTCAACCGTCGACGCCACACGGTCGAATGCGTGGCATAAGTCCCCCTTTTGTTCTTCAACCAGAAATATCCCGTTTACATCCGCATGCAGACAGCATCAGCTCATCATGATGACTCATTATTTCTTCGAACAGTGACGCGTTCTAGCTGTGTAGACTATGAGAAGGCAACGCCACACAGCTGGAAACAAGGCCCATGATTATGGCTTTTCGGGGTGATGTAGTAGCAAGAATGCTATACCCCACAGCGCAAAGTAGCTATCGGGCAGACGCACCGCGGTCAAGCCGCCGTAGGCCATTCTCCACCTCTTCGGCAACACCGTGACGGGTACCTCAAGATTTAGACGAGCGGCGATGCTTTGCTCCAACTGAGATAAAACATGCATGATCAGCTTATCTCAGTGCCCAGTGCAGTACAATAAAGAACGTTTTAGGTACTTGTACAGTGACTGGATCGCTCTCTGTGAAGACCGATGAAGATGCCAAGGACTCATTCCCACGACTCATCGTGCCGGACTCAGCACGTCTCCCACGCCCACCCCAGCTTCCATCCAACCATGATGTACGACGACGAGGTCGATGTTGCTCTCCAATACCTTCCGCGGCCACAGTTCTTCGTACAGACTCTCCCCCAAAATCTCGAAGATGGTAAACGATTCATCGAAGACCTGAAACAGCTTCGTATCGTGGCCATGACTCAGCCCATGTTCGAGTTGCTGCCTTGCGACTTGAGCGTGGTAGATATCTGGGCTCATCCCCAGAAGCTCGACCGCGATGCATCATATCGATACCGCCCTCGCCCCTTTGAAGATACACAGCTTGCTGCTGCATCGCCCGGAAACACTGTCATCACGCTCAAGAAACCCATTCGCACCAAGGTCGACACGCACTCCCAGGTCTACAAAGGTGATATGCGCATCGGTTCCGAAAAATCGCGGGAGGTATTCGTCAAGATATATCAACAGAGTCTTCGTGGTCTGCCAGAGGAACGTTGCTTCGATGACAACACCTGGCCCGTGCTGTGGCGACATGCAGGGAGCAGCGCAGCTCTGGAAGCATGGGCCTATAACCAGCTGACGGTGCTCCAAGGTACTCAACCCTGATATATACCGTGCCAGAATTCAACTGACTAATAGACAGGGTCCATGATACCGTATTCGTTTGGCTTCTATAAGGTGGCTTACCCACACTGGATTGATATTGCGACTAACGGACGCCTAGGTTGAATTGCCACACAAGGAGGTGTCCATCGTGCATGTTCTGGAATATCTCGACGGAGCGACGCTGCGCGAGACCGATCGCATCACCATCGAGAAACGTCTAGGCTGTAGTCTCCTACACGCTGTGAGTCGCATTGATAGATATGTGGCGGCGCGTGTCTGACTATTTTTAAGGCCGAATATATAATGCCCAGACTGTATCGCATGCAGAGATTGGGCATCATACACGGCGATCTTGATATGCGTAACATCATGTTACTGCGATCAATCGCTGTTGAAGACCCTCGGTCAGCACTCGTCATAGTCGACTTCAACGAAGCTCAACCGTCAGGTGACGGCAACGACTTCATGGACGCGCTCGAGTAAGTATCTGTACGACGTAAAGAATCTGCTCATCATTCTGTCCTAGTTTGTTGGCCCTTCTTCGAGAGCTCGGTGTGCACATTAACGACATCGAAGGCTGGTATCTGCGCCATGCGAATTCAAATCCTCGTCCGGAATGGCTAGCGATGTTCGGAACCCGTTTGCGCGATGACATATACTTCACGTTATGGATGAGGAGGATGCGTATAGAAGAAAAGGACTTGGAGATTCACGCGCGGATAAAATCATAATGGGGTCGTATCCTTATATCCTCGGTATTCGTAGCAAGGATGACCTCGCGTGACTCATGACCTTGATTCGTGGATAGTCTCGGCATTGATGCGATATGACTATTGCAAAGTCGCTGCCTACTCCTCGAGGTTTTATGCCTGGAGAGGGTATGGCTAGCGGCCACGACACCAAGTTTGAAGCCAGCGATAGGCCTTCGTTCCTCGCACGTCTTCCTTCGCGGGCGCTAAACCCCGTCCAAGCTAGAGCGCATAGAAATCTGAGCTATGCGATATGATACCATGATGAATGACGTCTGTACATGCACACACGTCCGCAAAATGGTGAGGTCAACGATATCAATCTCATTCCAGCATTCACATATTGAACCTACGACAGATATCGCACTTCCGTTTTACTCGTGTTATCTCGACGGTCCCGAAGACACCCCGAGTGGTTTGCGTCGACCAGGTGGATGTCGTCGGTGCGTGAGCGTTGTGCTGGTGGGGAAGCGCTAAACTCGAGGAGCGTCCATCTAATGGAACCAGTGTTAGGTAAAAAATAATCTGAATGCCTGCACCAGTCAGAGGTGGATGGTCTAGAGGCTGTCTCTGGCACATAGGCGACAACACTTCTAGTTCTGCAAAGATGGAAGCAAAGGATGGCTGGTTGATTGATCATATACATGCTGGATACAGAGCATTGTCTGCGCTGTCTTATGGTCAACGATCTGGGGTGAGCGTACAGTGTGCAAGCCTCTTCATCGCAACGTGACCGCTTCACGGAAAACATAAACATCCTTGGCCGAGTTGTCGGGCAGAAGAGGAGGGTGTGCAGGGAGTTGGAGAACGCAACCGGCGGTTACGCACCCGGTGGACGATCCGCTTGCGTAGCAGGTCCCGGCGTTTGGTGTGAGGTACGAGCTTTGCGTGGCGTGTTCGCGCGTGACCGAGGAAAGTGCAGAGAATAAAGAAGGAGATGGGAGACGAATGGCCCAAATCTTCAAGTTGATGGGCTGGAAGGAGTTCAGTCGTGATCTTCGGCTTATGCATAAGGATGTTGGGAGCAGAGGTATGGATTGATCTTGACCTAAAGAGAGAGCATGCCAGAAAGGGTGTTGATCACAATGACCATGCCTTTGCTCCTATCTAATCACGTACATACAAAGCCTGACACGAATGCGTATCGGGAGCACGAGAGGTCCGTTCCAGCCTACGATTTCAGGTTATGTCAAGTCAACGAAAACGTGACTGCATTGCTGATAGTGGAGACGGAATCCCAGCGGCAAGTGGTGCCTCAGCCGAGAGGACCTTGAGCCGATCTTGAGTGTCGCTCAATTGGCGACGTTGGATCTTCAAGCAGTTGCTTCATCTGGAACGACGAACAGGCACATTAGATTGCACATATGTAAGAGTTAGGTGGGAAAGCCGACCTCTTCGAGCGCACCGCTTCCAGAGTCCGCGGCAGAGGTATCCAAGGAGACGCCTTCCGGCCGTGAACCGCTCCCGTTGGTCGTAGGCTGTTGTTGCTGAGGGTATACTCAGCATCCGGTGTTCGACCCAAGAGTGGAAAGGCACGACGAACCTCCTTGCGCTTCTTTCGCGCGGCTTGATCGAACCCCTGTCCAGTTGATCCACCCTGTCCTGCTCCGTGTCCGTGTCCATCGTCACGAGGGACAATGTCGATGAGAAAATCGAACTGGTCCGACTTGGATAGCGCCTTGGCGATGTCTTGTCGGGAGAGAGTGCGTCGTTTGTTCGAGTCAGCGACGATGAAGGCCCGCGCGGTTATCTCCGAAATGAATACTGACAACCCATATGTTAAAGTACAAGCGAGATTCGAAACAGTGCGCACTTTCGCATGCCTTGCAGAACAGGATGGGTGCTGGACTATGAGCATGAGAATCGGCATGGGGTGGTATACACGGTCGGTCGAAGGTACCCACCGTCCGCTGCAATCATCTACAGAATGTTCGTTACAGTATCCTTCAGCCTCAAGTAATAGCGCACCTTCACTTCGGGATCACTCTTCATCACCTTCTTAATTCGCGCGAGCGGGAGAGCAGGATGCCGGTAATCCGGTGTTTCATTCTCGGCGGTGTCCACTTGGCGTTGCCAAAAGTTGCGCAGAAACTCATGCAGAGGGTCACCAGATTGAACATATGGTTCAGGCGCGTCCGACGTCATGATGGAGGGGCACGACGACCACTGGAGATCGTTGCCGGTCGGGCTGAGGCTCTGAGACAGCAGCAGCAGAAGGAGTTCATCCATGTCACGTGATGCATTAGCCGTGCTACTACTTTCCTTTCTCCTCCACCGGCATGCAGTGTGCGCCAGCTGCTCTCCACGTAAGTAGATGGCAACTCAACAGCCCAATCCTGCAAGCATCAGTGCGATCCTTCTCCATCCGTGGTGGCATGGTTGACACGGCCGCGGAAGTTTGAAAAGAAGCATGCATTACTATGATCACCTCAACCCGGCTACGTATGCGGTTATTCGTGGCTGTCTGTGTGCTCAGGATCATTATCGATCCCCTTTTTCGCCGCCGGAACCGAACATGGCGACTTCTGGGAATGCATTATATTGATAAGAAAGACATCGTGGTGGGCTAACGCCATAAACGTTCAGTAATCTCCATTGACCACGTGTCATATCTTCAATCACTATTTCTCGAGGATAACTTGAATATGCTGAACTTATCTCTGGTGGCAGTACAACCGTCGTGGCACCAAGAAAGAGGCGGGATGTGTAAATATAGTAGACCTCTTGATCCGGAATCGGAATCTCGTGACATGCGAAACGATGATCTGATAGTAAGTTTCTCTGGAACTTGGCGGGTTCTCACTAACTTGTCAAGAGGTCATTCACAGGGCCGCCACACAGTCGATCTCGATGTCATAGAGTCAGATGGAGCAGAACTCCTTCGTTGTCGGTCTTCAAAGCTTATCTGTGACTCACGATGGGACCTCGAATGCGCGGCTCATCAGGACAAGGGGACATATATAAAAGACAGCACGCCGGAGTCGTTTATCCCGCACGGCGCAACCTTCAACATGCCTCCCAAGTCTCTCCGTGAATGGCTCGACGCTACTCCGTCCAGAAAGCCGATTATACCCGTCCTTGAAGGACTCTTCAAGCATCCTCAGACCGTCCAAGCGGCTTACTCGTTGATCAGCCATTTTAAGGAACTCGGCTGCTGTGGCAACTCACAGCGCGCCGAGAAATTTCGTGATCTCATCTTACACAACTCCCATACTGCATCTGAATACTTGAAGCTGGATGTTGAACCTGCCGTACCGGACCCCACTATCGAAAGCGAGTCAAGCAAGAGCACGGATGTCAATAAACAGTTCACACCCAACGCATTCACGTTTCGTAGTCCTGATCAAGATCTCGTGTTTTCTCATACGGCGTTCACGAAGAAGCTGGCCTCGTTCGACGAGGAGACGGGCATGCTCTACATGTCCCTTCCAAAGCCACCGTCTTTGAAGTACTCCGTTCTAGAGGGAGATAACAAGTGAGATTCATTGTGACCCCTGAACGCGATGTATATTGCCTCATGCACATTGTAGGCAATCTAGCGCCGTGAACTTCTTTCATCCAGTCTGTCAGGTCCTAGATGACATGCTCAAGTGGGAAGTGTCGAAGACGAATAAAAGCTCTACCAGCACACCTGTCTCACTCTCGTTTTTGAGCGAGATTGATCTAAACGTCCACCGTCCCCCTTCATCGAAACGCCCAGATCCTTCTATATCCCCTCTCACGAGGAACTTCGATGGTACGCTGAGGTCGTCCGTCTGATGAACGGGCTCACATAATATAATTTAGGATTGTCATATGCAGGTACATCGCATCAATTCTAAAATTGCGCCAACAAAAAAACGGTTCTGTTTCAGAAAAAGTTATCGCTCTGCAAGATACTATCAACGTGGTCGAGTCGAGAGCTGACTTTAGTATCGTATTGTATCGAGATGGCAACGAAGACCAAGGAAAACGAGGATCAAGTATAGTAGTATGGGAGGAGAAAGTAGGAGGCGTTCTGCGGCGTCTGACGGTATCATTTGACTCAATCCTCTCAGAGATTTGGATGCATCAAAAATTCCATACGTGGAATGATCGATAAGGGCTCGTTCGAGCTTACTGTAGACGCTGAGCCGGGAAAATATTTGATTCAACTTCGCAAGTGAGCGTTTGCCCCGTTACGCAAATGTCAATGACAGACTGCTGACCATACGTAGATACGCGCTAGTCAGCGACATTCCGTACATGATCCTTTCGGACGGGGAGAGACAACTCGGGATTCTCTGGGATATGATCCGGAAATGGGCTAGAACTCAGGGTAATCAAAGCCAAATCAGAACTCGGAGCAAGGCCGCGAGCGAGGTGGAATGGAATGTGCTCGAGCGTGCTTGCAAGGCGCAAGTTCAGGAGGCATACAGTGTATCTCATGGCGATGATGCTCAGACGGCCTCCCGAATTCATGTCCGCATGCTTTTGTCGTCGTTTAGTTGGTTGGGTCTTGCTGACGAGAGCATAGTACAAGATTGATCATGATAATCCTGATACATATACGCTCATCCATTTTTCAACACAACGAACGAAAACATTACCACTGAAGGCGTTCGGAAGGATAGAATTAAGGATAGAATTACGGACATACGCAGGTCGTGGCTGAAAAGAATAGGATTACACCGTAGTACGTGGCTACGTCGATGATTCAGCCTGAGGCAGGCTGGGGTGATGTGACTTGTCGATGACCATTGATGTGTGGCGGTTAGTGCCAGCGAACGGGAGTGTTTCTCATGGTGAACGACACATCGCCTCCTCTCGCAATCTGTTCATGCTTCAGAATCGGTTGGCGGACTCGAACATGGTTGACCTCCAAGCCATCCACGTATGGTTTCGTCACCGCACCGTCTGCGGTGATCGTCAACGGCTGATCCGCATTCGGCAGATCGATTACAATTTTGTCGAAGAAAGGGCTGTGGGTATTCGACGATTTAACACAGGACGGTCGAAGTGCCGCTGCAAGGAGACAACGTACGATCCAACGACGTATTCTCCAGAAACGGGGTTGACCGGGTAGAAGCCCAAGGCGCTGAAGATGTACCACGCGCTCATCTGGCCACAGTCCTCGTTCTGCGAAAGGCGAAAATGAGGATGAAGATCAAGTTGCATCTGACGGCGTGTGGCGTACCCCTGAGAGTCCGTTCACAGTCGCGTTGTAGTCGGAAGACGCTACTTCACGGACGCGCTCTTGAGATTTAGAGGCATCTCCCGCAAGGGCGTATAGGTATGGAATGTGGTGCGATGGCTGAGATCTGCCGTCAGATACCGGACACGCTTCGTGAATTGAATCGAACTCGCCTCATTGGTATGATCATTGTGACCTGCAAGCAGGGCGCGTAAGCATGGGTCGGTACCGATGCATGGTCTACGGCTCACCACCATCGAAATGTTCGTCCAAAAAATTGACGAAGCTCTCGTTTCCACCCAGCCTGTCGATGAGGGCTGAAATGTCATGCACTACGTCGAATGTATACGCCCATTTGTCGCCTTCTGTCCAGCCTTCTTCGTCGCCGGCCCAGGATCCGTCGGCATTTCGTGCTTCCATAAAGCCGGTATTAGAGTTGAAGATCGTGAAGGGTGCGGTGAGGGAGCGGTTGAGGAAGAAATCGGCATCGTCTGTCCGATTAAGCAAGGAAGCGAGAGTAGCAACCGCAAAATCATCGTCTGCGGATTTGGGTATGAGTTGAAGTAGAAGGTAGGAGGGCAAAGATGAGGGCGGACAAGAATAATCCAGCGTTCTAGAAGCGGACTCGGAGTGAACATCGTTGGCGATCCAGCCATTGGTGTTGTATACCGAAGACAACCCTGCCCGAACCTCGTAGCCGACGTTCTAATAATAGTTCAGTACGGCAGTATTCAGCTACCGATAATCATTGGCTGACCTCCTCCCGATCATAGTACCTTGTGTTCAGATCGCGTGTGAGAGATAGTCATGACGTTTGTATCCTCAACATACGAGATATTCCAATCATCCACCGGTGGCACCGTGGCATCCTTCAGCACTGCTTCCCATGCGAGATCGAGATCAAAGCCCTTGAAACCCTTCAGGACCGCCTCCGCGATGAGCGAATCCGCATGAGTGCCAACCTAACGAGATGTGAGCCAGTGAGAAGCTCGAAGTTAGGAGGCCGACCATGATGTTCGTTTCTGAAAATAAAAATAAAATTGAAGCAGACCGAATCCCGTGGTTGGCTCAAAGGGTCTTACCGACGATATTCTTCCACATTGGGAGCCAGCCGCCCTTTCCACAATGTTCATCCTCCCTGTTCAGCCTCGTGCGTAGCGTTATCACGTACTTCTTTGTAGTCATGTAGCATGCTTTGCACCATTCCATTGATACGTTCCGGGGCTAGGAGCATTTGCCATGCCCAAATCGCACGATACGTGTCCTGAGGAGAACGTAAGTCCCAAAAACCTAATGGCACTCTGCGGAAACTCACCCAGATGGAGTAGCCCGTGTAAGACTCTCCTTCATGCACAGAATCATCATAGCCTGAGTAGTACCTTCCTTCTTCGCTTTGCTCGTAAGGGTACTATCAAGTCCGTAAGCGAATATCCGGTGAAACAGGCGACGAGAGAATCGCACCTGCAAGCTATGGTACACCGCGGTGTAGAACACCGTCTTGTTTTCCTGGGTTCCGCCCTCGATTTTGATCCTATCGAGCTTCTCTGCCCATTGATCCTTCGTCTTGCGCGCAGTTTCTTCCAAGGCGGTCTCGTCACTGATTTCGTTGTCTAGGTTCCGACGCGCCTGCTCGACGGAGATAAAAGACACGCCAACCCTGACATCTACCGTTGCAGTCCCATCTTGGAACGCCGCATATGCGCTGAGAAGTGCACCTTCATCGCGGGTGGCACCTTCACGAGCTGTCCCGTTTTGCGTGATGCCCCATGCCGAGAAAGGTTCCGAGAACCTTGCGCAGAAGTAACCCTTGAAGCCCTTCGCCGTCTCGGTATTAGGTCCGATGATGAAGTCTTGGCGTTCGGGATTGTAGCCCGTGATTTCGCGAGAGGATGGGTCGATGGAGACTTCACCCAGAGGATAGGTGACGTTGGACGGATCCGCAGAGCCAATAATGGAAGCGCGCGTCGCTTCGATAAGGATGTAGGGAGGGGAAGTTGAATCGAAGGTGAACTTGAGGTGGCCAACCCGCGAAGCTGAAGCGGCGGGCGCTGTCAGCGCTGAGCCTATGAGCATGGACGCGCACTCACTTGCAGTCATCTCAGCACGAACATTGCCCTCATCCGCCTTCAGGTCCACAGAATAGTAGTGCGCGGTTATCACCTCGTCTTCATGCCTGAAGGCCATCCCTCTATCCTCGAAACTGCTCTTCACGTCGCCCAACCCGGGGACGACTACAACTTGCCCGCTTTCGCCCATCCATATCGCCGGCTGATGTGTCCCTTGGAAGCCGTGAATCGTGCCATCGGTGTAGTTGTAGGGTGTCATCGAGACGTAGTTCTGTCGCGTTTGCGCGACCCAACGCGTCATGGCGAACGGCGGCGCGGTGGAGGGTATCATCCCGCCCGAGCCATTGGGCGAGTCGCCACCATTTCCGATGAGCCTGTGTGGCATGCAGCAAGTTTTCTCATGGTATGTTGTAGACGCACGTACGGGTTCACGTAGTCGACATTACTTGAAGCATGCTCTGCGGCTTGGGAGTGTGCCTCTAGCCATATGCTGGTGCTCGAGTTTGTGAGCTATGGGGTGGCAATAAGAAAAGAGGTCTAGTCATTGCTAGTCATGATGTGCTCACCTTGCCCATTTGTTCAGCCAATGCCTCCGTGTCCGTGAGCGCAAATGGCAGAGGCTGTTGACCATCGCGATGAGCCGCAATGATGCCAGCGACGCAGAAGATGACGAGAATGCCTCGTATTAGCGGTCTTGCCGGATACATGCTGGCATCTATCGAAGAGGACGGAGAGAACGCGGTCAAAAAGGTGTGGTAGAAACTGGGGTAGGGCCGAGGAACAAAACGTAGCGATCGTCAAATTCGATTTGATTTTGCGCGATATCACTGCGTACACTTTTACACTTCGAAGGCTGAAGATGCGCTGTGCTTTTGTTGAAAACTATGGTGTATGGATGGAGAGGGCGTTGTACAGGTTATGGTACAGTATTACGATATATGGAGTGGTGATGGTATCGACGGATGCTAGGGTCAAATCACAGTCACTGGCGACATTACATGAAACGAGAAGTGGGAGAAGGGGACGGAACACACGACCTATTGCATACCATCTTTCCATTCGGAGTCCAACACTCGGACCTGTTTCCTGACGAGCCGCCTCATCCAATCCCTCATCTGCCCCTGCACGCCGGCTTCTTGCGCTCTTAGCGCCATCCCCTTCCTAAGCCACTTGACGTCGCGAGCTCTGACGGCTCGCAGGTCCGGAAAGTTCTGTATAGCACCCTCAAGCTTCCCTAGTAGTACGCCATTCGGACGTGGGAGAGAAAGGACTTGGAGATGATGCTTCGGTGGTAAGACGAGGTCGGGAAGTGGTGCTTCGAGCGAAAGGTGTCGAAGGTTGGGACACGAGATGAGGAGGTCCGGAGGTGAGGTGCAGAGGGAGGTCGGCCAGACCTTCGGTGTATAGAGGAGGAGGGAAGTCAGGGATGGTCCGTGAGCAGCGATAAAAGCGGTGACCAAGGATGAGGCGACTTCGTGATAAGGCGTGAGAGTGAGTGTCCGGAGCGAAGGTAGTCTAGTGTGCAAAAGCGCGTAGAGTAATGGTCCGGAGTGTAGGGATAGTAAGGTGAGGGTGCGTAGAGCGGGGAGATGAAGGGGATAAAACGGTATCGTGTCGTCTTCACCAGCTGAGCTCCGAGTGGGGAGTAAGAAGTCGAAGTCGGACGTGTCTAGCCCCGGTCCGACGACTTCGAGTTCTTCAATTCCGGGACAGTATCGCAACAGCTGGACCAACGGGTCGCTCTGAAGCGTGCTGATGTTCACGCTGGTCTCTGAGATCTTCATCCCCTTCAGTGACCTCAGATGGCCGGCGCTGTCACTCAGTGCCAGGGCATCCAGCGCTCTCCTACTCAGGCCCATCATAGGTGTGAGCACGCATTGTCGAAGGAAAGGAACAAGAGGCCACATGCTCGTGAGCAGCATGTCGATATGAAGCCGAGAGTCTTCGATGCTGGATCCGTCATAGTGTAGGTAGCCGAGGTCCAATGAGTGGATCCAGCGACCAGGGGTGGAGTACGGAATCCGCCGTATCGAATCCCAGGCTTTGTCGGAGGCGGTCAAGTGGGCGACAAACTTCTGCAGGGCACCGATCGAGGCGATTGTAACATGCGAATATAGTATGGGTAAAATGATTTCCTGAAAGCGCGCGAGTATAAGAGGTACAGTTTCCTCGCGCTGACGAGTATTCCTCTTACCTTGAACCCCTTACTAATCAAAAGAAATCGCATGGAGCCCGGCTGTCGTGATGACCCATAGATTCCATCCGAATCTCCCCATAGTACAAACTGGAAGATCTTGGACCATATTTCCCCGGGAAGGTGCTTCAGAGGCGGGCGAGGAGGCAACAAGGAAACCAATAAGAGTTGGCCAGCATATCGTGCCAGGGGACGTGGACAGAGCAAAACACTAGGCTGAGTAGTCGTATAGCTCATGAAGTAGCTGGGATATAACCGCGCTTCTGAGCATTCCGCAACGTCGGGAGACAAGAGCTGGCAACTGCGATCGCTTCCGCGTCGGGCCGATGAGCGTGGGAACAGGAGCGTTACACAATCCGCTTATGCGCCCGATTTTGGCCCTTCGGCTCGCACCTTGATCGCCTATTACCGACTGATATACACACCGGAAGAGTTATGTGTTCTGCACACGGCACGACCATCGTCTTCCGCTTCGTTGCGGTTATAACGGGCGTTCAGGAGGTTCATCCAATCCTTCAGAAGCATGGTGGACTACGACCTGATGTCGCGCAACAGTTTCTAGATACCCTCGGTAGGCAAAGGTAGGTAGGTAGGTAGGTAGGCAGATTGCCGACGAGGTCCCGGTAGCGGAACAATCGGTTGCTGCGCTGCACGTACGCCACTCGTGTAGTCGACCAAAGAAATGCACGCTCGCAGGAAGAATAAGCCTCCTACCCGTAACGCTGACCAATGCCATCCGACATAAGTGGGGGGGGGCAACCGAAGTCGATCATCGGCCTTCAGTGGGTTCATAATTTCATATGATCTTAGATGACTGGTACTGAAGCGACCGAGGAGTCCTCGTAGAAGAAGGTTTGACGACGCCCCCTCGCCACCGCAAATGTCAAGACCCATGCCAAACGGGGTAATTTCGCACAGTCGAGACCCTCCGCAGCCCCGAAGGGCGCTGCCCCACTCGAAGACCGACGAGATAGACGACGATCCGACGCCACTCGCTGTTGACTGCGAAGGGCGTATCCAGAAGTGCAACGCTGGCTCTGCAATGGGCATCTTTCGATTATACTATTGACCCACCATTTACCGTCGACGAGTCGCTCTTATAAGACGCAGAACGATGACCGTCGTCCTCCCCATCCCTCAACTCAGGCCTATTTCCGCTCCATAAGCCATGGTTCAGACACATAATAGGCGTACAACACCCATCGCCATTATTGGCGGCGGGCTCGGCGGTATATGTGCCGCCGTTGGTCTCGGCCGCGCCGGGTACTCAGTACATGTTTTTGAGAAAGCAGCAAGGCAAGCTCTTGGTTTGTCCGTCGCTGGCAGCGTCCTATTGATATGCTCCTCCTCCGCAGCTTTGCCGAGCTAGGTGCCGGTATAAGTTTAGGTCCTAATTCCCTCGAGGCCCTGGAACTCCTCGGACTTGGTGACACCTTTAAGGAGATCGCGAACATGAGCGAGGAGAATCCGCTCTGGTTTCGCGTTCTGGATGGGCGGACTGGAACTCATGTAACGGATGTGAGCGCTGTCAGCAGGTCCTCGCGTCAGACGCGAATTAATCCGTATCTCTCCAACAAGCTTCACATCAAGGGTCGTCACGCGTTTGTTCACCGGTAAGCTTTCATTTCTCATTCACGGGCATCTCTCATCTAGAACATCAGTGCACGTTTGCTTGAGCGAATCACGGAGCATCTGCCTCCGAACGTGCACATCTATTTCTCTTGCAACGTTGTCAAAGTGGAGACGATCCATGCTCCTGTCGGATATCAAAGAACGTCATTCGTGCACGTTACCTTCCAAAGACCATCTGCCGACGGTACTCCGAGGAGTCAAGTATTTGAGGCCTCGGCGGCTATTGCGTGCGATGGTATCAGAAGCAACGTACGCTTATCGGACGAGATTACGTTTTCTACCCGACTCATCGTATTCACGCCAGGTTCGTGAGTGTCTCAAGCCGTATTGCGGTGGGCGAGTCCGATATACGGGAACGTACCTTTACCGCGGACTGCTTGACATGCACGATGCTATCAAAGCTATAGGCGAGCGCGCACGGATATCCACTCAGAGAATGGGCCTTGATAGAGTGAGTCATCGCGGGCGCCTACTGGTCCAGCCTTCACTGAATGACCTATACAGCAAATATCTGCTCTTCCGATCGACGGCGGAAAGACGTTGAGCGTGTCAGCGTACGTGTCGGACAGATCGCTGGACCCCGACCAGCGCATTTGGGATGCACCGCGCTGGGTAATCCCGGGCTCCACGCAACAGATGCTTGCTGCATTCAATGATTTTGGAGAAGATGCAAAAAGTCTTCTGAAGGTCCGTTGTCATTGGCCCTTATTGTTCAAATACTTGCTCAGCAATGAATAGCTGGTGAAGAAAGCCGATCAATGGGCATTGCACGAGCTTGTTCCACCAAAGATATGGACGGCGGAGAGAGTTACGCTGCTAGGAGATGCGGTGAGTAGATCACGCACGTTGGCCCAGTATCGGTTCACCTGATGTGTATGATTACTAGGCACATGCTGGTCAGCCATTCAATGGGGCCGGTGTGGGTCAAGCGTTTGAGGACGCCTATGTCTTAACCGAGCTTATGGCCCACCCTGCATGCAATGCCTCCACAATTCCTCGCTTTTTACAAGCGTACGAAGACGTTCGCAGGGAGCGTGCGAGACTACAGCAAGCTCACAGTCGCGTGAGCGGAGAGGTATGTTAGGGGAATAGTGCATCGTGTCAAAGAATTCAATTGCTCATGTAACATTACTAGATATATCAATATAGAGGACCTATGGGAGACGATACTGTGGCCATCGCGGCTGAGTTCCAGGACAGATTCGATTGGATCTGGCACGTTGACCTGAGAGCCGACGTCGCGGAAGCGTTACAAAAGCTGAAATCTGCCGGTGTTGTCGCTTGATCTCAATATCTGAATCATCGGACGCGTGTCGGAAGGCATTGTCTACTGCGCGGTCCAGCTTGCTACAGGGCCACGATCTGCAAGACGATGGGTACAATATTTACCATGCTACTTTCATTTGTACTGTATAACATAGTAACCCGTGCTTATTTATATTTCAATGTGTCGGGGGGATAGGGATGCAATCACGACTTTACGCACGGCGATCTGCGAGTTCCGATGTGAGCGGATCCGCAGCAGCGAAAGCCTCCGTCAGTGCGGGAACGCAAGGAATGACTCGGCGATTTCAGCGACGTTGCAAGAGCTGCAGCCTGGTGAGCTGAGAGTGATCTCCAGTGGATGGATATGGCCTAATCACTCTTCCTGTCTTAGAGTCGTGTTTACGCGGCCTTTATACGTTCGGGACAGAGGCAGGCACATCCGCAAGATCCAGGTAGGTAGGTAGGTAGGTAGTATTAACCGGCGCGGTCCCAATACCGGAACAGCCGGGCCCCAGGGCCTCGCACTAGTGGCGAGTATCATCACGGAAATATCGCATGTTCTCATGGCCGACAGTGCGGGAGATACTTGCATCCGGCCGTGCCACAGAGGGCATATCTGGAAGTCGAAGCTAATCGGGCTGCCATCTGCCCCTGCTTCTTTCCTCTTCGAATAGGAATCGCCCCACATGCGCCCCGACGGATTGTGTGCGTGCCAGCTACCGAACGCAGCTGACGTACCTTTTGTTTTCAGGTAGACCCACCGAGCGCCGTAGCCCGTCATGTGCCCCCGAAGGCTACATACACGATGGCGCGAAATACGATTTTGGTCAAGCTTGAAATAAGGCGGCGCTCGCGGGCTTCGGCAGATACGGAAAGGAATAACGTGAACCATGGGGGACACCTCTCAAGCCCAAGATACTGTCGTCGCCATCGTCGGTGGAGGATTAGGCGGCGTGTGTACCGCCGTAGGCCTCAGCCGCGCGGGATACACCATCCACGTGTTTGAGAAAGCAGCAAGGTCAGCGGGCCCTAGCTATATCTTCCGACGTAAAAAACATCGCTTACAAGTCCTGCATGTATTCAGTTTCGCTGAGCTCGGAGCAGGGTTGAGCATTGGGCCCAACTCCATGCGCGCGCTGGAGCTCCTGGGCCTGGGAAGCATTTTCGAGGCGATAGCGAAGATCAGCGAGCTTAACCCGCTCTGGTTCCGCGTCCTCGACGGTCGTGACGGAACCCACGTAACAGATGTAAGATTGCGTCTTGGTGTCTGAATCTGCTTTACGGTGGCTCATGAGGTACCCTCCCGGTAGCTTCATATTAAAGGACGACACGCGTTCGTTCATCGGTATACGTGGTTTCTGTTCGCCTCTCGCGGGCGTAAGAAGCTCATACGGCATGCTACAGAGCACGGCTTCTGGAGGCGATCGCTCAACAGCTTCCGTCGAATGTCAACATCCACTTCTCCTCGCTCGTGAAGAAAGTGGAGAACATGCAGACCGCGAACGGTGCCTACGCGCGCCTGGCCATCGAGAGACGAGAACACGGGCAAAATCCCTCGAGATCGGAGCCGGATTTCTTCGTCGCCAGCGTCGTCGTCGGGTGCGACGGGATCAAGAGCGTGGTACGTCCCTGAAAACCATTATCCAAGGTTGATCATACCGTCGCGGCGAGACAGATGACCTTTACATCACAAAGGTCCGCGAGAGCTTGGGAGAGCAGTGCGGCGGGCGGGTGCGGTACACGGGCACGTACATGTACCGCGGGCTGATCAACATGGACGACGCCGTCGCCGCCATCGGCGAGCGCGCCCGGATTTCGACGCAGAGGATGGGATTCGACAGGGTAAGCCCGGTCCTCTCCCACCCCCTCCTAAGCCGGGCCAGTTCCGTGTTTTTTTTTTTTGACTAACGTCGCTGAATTTGACTGGCACCCCGTTTGTTGCCCCGGGAAAATAGCAAATGTCGGCCATCCCGATCGACGGCGGCAAGACGCTGAGCGTGACCGCGTACGTGTCCGACCGCTCGCGGGACCCGGATCTGCGCGAGTGGGGGCCGACGAGCTGGATCGTGCCCGGCTCGACGGAGGAGATGTTGGCGTCGTTCGAGGACTTTGGCGAGGACGCGAAGACGCTGCTCAAAGTAACGCCTCCTCCTTCTCCTCCTCCTCCTCCTGATCCGGGGGAGAAAGGCTGACCGGGCGGTGTTTTTTGTTTTTTCTTTATTTTTCATTTTATTTCCCCATCGTTAAGCTCGTGAAGAAGGCGGACAAGTGGGCGCTGCACGAGCTCGTCCCGCCCGAGCGCTGGACCGTGGGCCGGGTGACGCTGCTCGGCGACGCGGCGCACGCGGGGCAGCCGTTCAACGGCCAGGGCGTCGGCCAGGCGTTCGAGGACGCGTACGTGCTCGCGGAGCTGCTCGCCCTGCCCGAGTGCACCCCGGCGAACGTGGAGCGGTTTTTGCTCGCGTACGAGGATATACGGAAGGACCGATCGCGGGTGCAGCAGGTCACGAGCAGGGAGGGCGGCGAGGTGCGTCTCTCTCTCTCTTTCTCTCGCCCCCTGCAACTCCCTCCCGCTCGCGCTTTCGCTGGCGATTGACTGAACCTGGGGTTCGGTTTTGCGCGCGGGTTAGATCTTCCAGTATTGCGGACCGATGGGAAGGGATCGGGCGGCGATCGCGAGGGTGTTGAGGGATCGGTTCGATTGGCTGTGGATGTACGACCTCACGATGGACGTCGAGCTCGCCAAGGCCAAGCTCAAGCTTGCCGGTGTGATCGTTTAAGAGAAATCATCATCATCATCATCGCGCCCCCCCCCTCCCCTCGTCGTCCTTGGATCGGAAGCGTCGGAGCATTCCGAGCTTTGGCTGTATCTCCGGGGATTTTTTTCTTCGTTTAGTTTGATTGTAATGTCCCAGTTCCGCGCGACCGAGATTTTGAATGGAGATAGCTCCGAGGCGCCGTGATAGCGTCTCCCATAAATGGCGGCCCTCCTTTCCGTGTTTTATTTTGTGCATAGCAAGAGCATACTTGGCGATCGTAACGGGCCGTGCTATGGCTGAGCAGCCTCTGACTCGACAGACGATAGCCGCAGTAGCTAGCGCGCTCGGATAGAAACGCCTGCATTCGCGCGCGTAGGGAAAGGAAGCCCAACCCGCACGGGTGGCCGTTGAAAAGGCACGGCAGCGGTGCTAGATCGGTTCAGCTTCAGGTCGGGGGTCTCGAGACGAGCGTGCCGGCGGTACATATAGACTCAGAGGTCCAGACGGATTCGTTCAACACGTCGCTTCGAGTCAAGCATGGATAGCATCCGGGATGCGATTCCCGCTGACGTACGCCAGCGTACGCCTCCGCGATGGGCGTGAGCGGGGGGAAACCTGCAGCTCGATCGGCGGGCGCAGGCACCAGCGGAAAACGCCATTCGCCACGAGTCCTAGACAAGGTACAATGTGAAGCGGTCGATCTCGAGCAGCGTTAACGTTCTGCTTCATGCCCCGAGTAGAGTCGTTCTTCACGAGTCCCTCCAAGAAGGATCGGCGGGAGAAAGGAAAATCGAGGTCGGGCATCGCCACACGATATTAAACGATAGTGAAAAAGGGGCGCGTACGAAGCTGCCACGAGGCTCGCGAGAAGAGGGGAGCGGTCGCGCAATGTGATCGCGTGACGACGGTTTCTCATCGATAGCTACGGGCGTCCGTCCCCTTGCTATAAATACGGAGCCATCTGCTGTATCCGTATGGCTCTATGCGCAGTCAGAGCATGTATGGCATGGTCATTTCGAGGAGCAGCAGCAGAGCTTGCTGAAGAGGGGGGAGGACGAAGGACGACGACGTTGAGCCTTGGAGAGCAAATCAGGACGTCGTCAGGGCAACGACTGCGCAGCGGCGTGCACATCTTCCCACGGCTGCTGATAGATGCACGTGGGGCGTCGTCTGCGGACATCGAGCTCGAGTCAAGCCGTCGCGATCTTCCTCATCGAACCCATCCCAACTCTATCATCCCCAAAAATCCAGCCAGCCAGCGGCCACCGTAATTCCCGGCGACATAGCAAACGAAACCAGTACAGCCGGGCTGTAACGCGTTTGACGGCCACCATCCAAGTTCCAGAGGCGCCCGAGGTGATCCACCGGGGTATTTAAGGCGACGGTCAACACGACGAGAACGATTGCCAACGCCGCAGCCCAGACCCCATACGAACTCTAAACCCAATCCCGCCCGCGCCCACGAACACAACCTCTTCTGGGTTTTGAATGACTTCCACCGTCTCGCCGCCGCCGCCGCCCACCAGCAGCAGCCCCCGCACGAGCACGAGCACGAGCGGCAGCAGCACCAGCGACCACAAAGGCACGTCTCTCTCGCCGCTTTCTGTCCACATATAGCCCATTCATATCGCCACGATGCGCTTCCCACATCTCATCTCCTATCGCCCTTGCGCTGATACGATTGCGATGCGATGTTATATGTATATATATAGATCTGCCGCGCCTGTCGCTGCACATCGACGCCCCGCCGTCGTCCTCGCCGTTCCCGAGCCCGAGCAGCACCTTCATCCCGCCGCCCGTTCAGAATCCGCACGAGTACGCCCACAAGCTCCTCCCGCCGCGCAAGAAGCGGTCCCCCGCCAACAACAGCAACAGCAACAACAACAACAACAACAACGGGAGTTCGACCCCGGTCTCGGCGAGGAGCTCGACCCCCGTCTCGGCGACGAGCAGCGCCACGCCCACCTCGGCTTCCGCCAGCGTCACCGGCACGAGCACCGCACCTCCTCCTGCAGCAGCACACCCAGACCCCGATCTGTCGATCCACGACCTCGACATGGCGACGACCACGACCGCACCCGCGCCCCACGTGCTCACCACGCCTCCTCCTCCTCCCTCCTCCTCCTCCTCACCTGACCCCCCCGCCCCGTCCACCCCCGCCTCTTCCACCTCCTCAGACCCTTCCTCCTCCGCCCCCTCCGCACCCGCCTCCGCGCTGAGCCACTCCCACCGCGACTCGCTCGGCCCCCAATCCACCCGCCCCGCCCCGGCCTCCCCCGGCCCCTCGCGCCGCTCCTCGGCCGTCATCCCGACCAAGCCCGGCTCGCGCCCGCCCTCGACGCTCTTCTCCCCCTCCTCCTCCCAACTCTCCTCCTCCCCCGGCGGCAACGCCAGCATGGGCCTCGTCCCGACCCGGCCCGCCTCCACCGGCTCGTCCTCGGCGACGCCGACCGCCAACGGCTTCTCCCCCTCCTCGTCCTCCTCCCTCGTCAAGGACAAAGACGCCGCGAAGGATAAGGAGAACCACCAGCACCATCCCGTTCCGCCTCCGCCCGACTCGTCGTCCCAAGTAGGAGGAGGAGGAGGAGGAGGAGGAGGAGCGGGGGGGAAGAAGAGCGGGGGGCCGACCTGGCCGCACGTCGCGATCCGCGATTTCGCATACCCGGCGACGGACGAGCGCCACGTCGGGCGCGGGGCGGACGTGCCCCGCCCGAACGCGCGGCTGCTCCGCGGCGCGCGCCGCTTTTCGCAGCTCACCGAACCCTCTGATTCCGATTCCGACGACGAGGACGAGGACGAAGATGGAGACGAGGACGGGTGGTGGAGTAAGAAGGGGTGGGGAGGGGGTAGGAGCTGGGCGTTTGGGAGCAGGACGGTTAGCGAGGGGAGGAGGCAGGAGGAGGAGGCCGCCGCCGCTGCCGGGCCGAGTCGGGGTGATCTGGCGAGGAATTTCGGGGTGGCGGCGGAGGGGGAGGGGGAGGGCGAGGAGGCGGAGTACGTCGAGGAGGCGGAGACGTCCGGCGAGGCGTGGCAGGTGGACGCGGACGAGGCGCCGCTCGTGCCGGGGTTGTATAGGGCGGCGTACGCGTTCGAGCCCGAGGGGACGGCGGAGATGAGGATGGAGGAGGGGCAGGTGGTGAAGGTCGTCGGGAGGGGAGGAGGGGTCGGATGGGCGGTCGTGGTCAGGGGGTATAGGCACGGGGAAGGAGGTGGGGGAGGGGATGGGGAGGAGGAGCATGCGCTCGTGCCGGAGGGGTACTTGGAGCTCATCGAAGCGGATCCGGACGCGGACGCGGACGTTGATATGGACGCTTGAAAGTCGGTTTGTTGGTGTATGTCTTTTTCTTAGCTGCTTATATTTTTTTTGTTTGCTTGTATGCGCGGGCGCGTCGAGGGTGTATGTGGCCCAAAAAAATGCCAATTTTTTATCAGTTTTCCCTTGTACTGTTGGGTCCACAGACGTCCACCTAGAGAGAGAGAGAGAGCGCAGATGATTTATCCTCCATCGACGAAGTAATAGGAGTTTGATGCGGTTACACCGTGGACGGCTCGGTGGACTACTTATAGTATATCTACGTTTTAGGATAATTGCCTCTCTCTCCGGATGAACGCATGCGGTCATCCCACATATCCAGGCGTGCAACATTTCGGATGAAAGGTTTCCCTGCATGTATTCATTCGCACACGCTGACGAGCGCCATGTAACCTCGTCGGTCCTGTTCGTCTTTCCTGCTTGCCCTCCTCGATCGTCGGATCCCGCCGGGAGGCGGGCCACACTCTTGCAACTCGCTCGCTCTCCGTTTTGTCCAAAGGGAGGGGGGGGGGGGGGGCGACTATGCTATACTGATTCATTGTATGCGGGCCGTGCTATATCCCGCAGCGCGAAGACAAATTTTCTCGGCCACTTTGACGGACGCTGCATGTGCTACTGATCCCTACGACTCTTCCGAAACTGAAGACGGTATAAGATTCTTGCTTGCTGGGATAGCCTCATGCATAACAATCGCGACTATCTCCTGATCGAAGGACCCTTCGGCAAGTCGGACGATGGGCTGGGTTCCCAATCCGGACGAGATCGATGCTGTGGTTCCGCTGGCTTCTCGGATACACCCCGAGAGATCTGAATCAAACGGAAACCTATATCGGGCCTATCTTTCTGTCTGGCCCCGGAAGCACTTTCATCGGCATCCGCGCATATATCCAACTTTCCGGTGCATCCAGTTACGGCTGCGTTGATCCCTCCCGAGGCGAGTCACCCCCGTTCCAAACTCTCTCGCTTGGTCACCTCATAATTGGTAAACAGATAGCCATCGCGAACAATCGGCTACTGGAATGGGCATAGTTTTTTTTCCCTCCAAAGGTGAGCACGAGAGCTAGGAAGACGGTCTCTGTTGATCGAGCCCTCCCGCCGCATACCAGCCGCAACTCCAGGCTTCCCATATACACGCTCGGTTAAAATTTCTGCTGGGCCGGAACAACTCGCTGGAATGACGAATATTCGAAAGTGCGACTCCTGCACCAGATTGGGCAGGATCGATGAACTTGAAGTATGGATATCGCTCTCCTACTGCGGGGTTTTCGGGTATAAGGACATGTGATGTCCTTCTCCTAGGCCTGCCGTTCGCTTGTCGCCGTCACGCCGTTCATCCATACCCATGAACCTCGACCAAGACGCGGAGCGGATGATCAGCGGCCTTCCTCAGAACGAGATTTTTGCAGACAAAGACGTTCCCCGTGGCTTCCAGAACGGCCTGCTTTACATTAAGGAGCTGGAACGCTTCCGATCCCTCGCCTGCTCCAATGCCCTCTACCGCTCTCTGCCACACGTTCTATACGTTACGAAGACCTGGACGTACTCGCTTCCCGATATATCTCACCGGGATTCATCCCAGCAGTATCGTCCGCCACTCTTTTCGCGTGACGAGCTATCCGTTGCCAGCCCTCAAGATACAACAATCACCCTCGAACACGTGATACGGGCGAAGCGCAATACGCTCTCTCAGGTTTACAAGGGATCGCTGCGCGTCGGTGCCGGGACGTCCCGAGAGGTTTGCATCAAGATATATCAGCAAAGCCTATGTTCGCTACCGGACATTGATTGTTTCGACGAGGACGAGGATTACAATCCTGAATTGCGCACTGCTCGTCATAACGCGGGTGTAGAGGCCTGGGCGTACTGTAAACTTGCTTCCCTCCAAGGTAATGTCACCGTGTTCGTCGGCATTCATGATGGAATGGATTTGACGTTGATATACTCAAGGCTCTTTTATCCCTTGTTCACTTGGCTTTTACGAAGTGATTCCCGCGAACAATATGAGCTCAACGTGTGACTCATGATTTCTCAGGCACGCCTCCCAAACGGAGAAACCTCTGTTGTTCACGTACTCGAATACCTTGACGGAGTTCCGCTGTCGTCCATCAAACGACGCGATGATCTGGAACAACGCATGGGTTGTCGCGTGATCGACATGGTGAATCGCTATATCCACCGAGTCTCGATGATTCTCACTCCGCCTCATCATTGTTCAGGTAGAGAAACTCCTGGATAAAATTGTACTCATGCACGAACTGGGCGTTACGCACCAGGATTTATACCTGCGCAACATCATGCTACTGAAACAGTCTAGAAATCGCGATCCTTTGTCCTCTCTTGCTATCGTCGATTTCAATAAAGCAGAGCCCCCTCATGGAACCTTCGACAACGAACAAGCCGACTCACATCGGTGAGCACTCCTAATCGTCTTCTCGCGCTTGTTCCCGAATAAACTCTCATCTGGACACAGCATTCTGGACATCCTCGAAAATTACCGCGTACCAGTAAGGCTCATCGAGGCATGGTACGCGAAGCATGCTTCATCAGATCCGCGCCCTTTCTGGGTCTCGTTGTTTGATAGTAGGTCAGGAGAGGGCGTACATTTTCTGATATGGCACGACATAATGCATAATCGCGAGAGACGACGGCAGTATATACCGATTAACTATTGACAGAGTATAATGTTGATGAATATTTCAGTGGGCAACCGCGTCTGTAGTGACAACGTCGCACAAACTTTCACTACCTGGGCTCCTTGAGCGCCATTATAATGCTCCAAATTGAGCAGCAGCAGTCAGATCGTCTTCAAGTCAGACCTTTTCGGTTCCCCGAAAGCAAACCTATCGGCATCAGGGCCCCCGCCCGCGTATGCGTGGAGGTCCATTTCTACTCATCCGCAGCGCTAGCGATTGACCACTCAATCACGCTTCTATACCCATAAAATCCTCTTCGCTTAAATCTCGACGAGCATTACCGTTACGGTCATCTTTTCAAGGATGAGCTGCCGGCACGCCAGCGCATCTCTGTTTACGAGCGTCCGGCATTTACTTGCCTTTGACACAGAGCTGTCGTCGAGGATTTCCTGGACCCAGTGGGACGCGCACAGAAGAGGTGGAGCCGAGAGTGCGAGTACGCAACGGGCAGATGCGCGTACAAGATACCAATCGACTGGGCGCTCGCGGGGCAGGCCCCGGCGTCTGGTATCAGATACGAGCTCTGTGACATGTGTTAGCGAATGGCTGAAGAAAGTGCGGAGAGGGCAAAAAGTGAAATGTGGGAGCGGATGCTCAGCGGGGTTCTCATCGGGATTCTCGACCTTAAGCCGGTCGTGGGGGTCGTTCTGTCGGTGAAGTTGAGTTCTCAAAGCGCTGCTTCATCTGTGATGACAAAAGGCAATGTTAGGCTAGAACAATATCAAGTGGAACAGCGGGTAAACCTCTTCAAGCATCACGGCAGAGGTATCCAGTGCATCGCCTTCCGGCCGTGACTCGCTCCCATTTGTAGGTGGTTGTCCCTGCTGCCCGTTGTCTGAATGTCCCTGAATGTCATAATACATGATGGGCATCAAGATCCATCCGGTCCGGACCAGCCACGACGAACCTCCTTCCGCTTCTTGCGCGCGGCTTGGTCGAACCCCTGTCCCGCCGACCCGCCTTGGCCAGCAGCGTGCCCATGCCCATCGTCACGAGGGACTATGTCGATGTGGAAGTCGAACTGGTCCGACTTGGCGAGCGCCTTGGCGATGTCTTGTTGAGAAAGTGTGCGCCGTTTGTTCGAGTCGGCCACTATGAAGGCACGAGCGGTGATCTCCGAGAGACTGAGCAAGCAGTTGTTAGTGAAGATTAGAGTGTTCTGCTGGTGGACGCACTCTCGCATACCTTGCAGAATGGAATGGGTGCTGGACTAGGACGATGAGAATCGGCATGGAGTAGCATACGCGATCGGTCGAAGACACCCACCATCCGCAGCAATCATCTACGAGGTGTGAGCCGCGTAATCCTCACATTCCATTCGAGTCCAGTAACTGACCTTGACTTCGGGACCGCTCTTCATCACCTTCTTGATCCGGGCGAGCGGGAGAGCAGGATGCCGGTAATCTGGCGTTTCATTCTCGGCTGTGTCCACTTGTCGTTGCCAGAAGTTGCGCAAGAACTCGGTGCGTGTGTCACTTGACCGATCGTGCACCAGCGAGCTTAAGCGTCATGGCATGCAACAAATTGGTGGATCACAGTAAGTACCGCGCTACATCATGCTTTTACTACCTTTCTCTTTATCAGAGCTGTCCAAACGAAACAACCCAGAAGTGTACGGATATGCACTGGGGGTTCGGCATGAATAATAGCCCCCGCCGCTTGCATAACGTTGCGGATGAATGCCTCCTGCACTCGCACTCTTCGGGCGCCTTCTACATAGTTCCACTCGTTCTCCTTCTTTTCCTCTTCTTCCATTTCCCATTTCCATTGACACAAGATATCCCATATGAGGCCGTACCGCTTCCCTCCGTCCGAAAGGATCATGAGGGGTATTTCGCTAATTAACGCGTACCTGGTAAGATGAAATAGGGGACGTGAGTGTTCAATCACGGAGACTCTGGTATGGGACGAACTTGCGAAGTTGAGTAAGGAATATCCCTGGAGCATTCTTGTGGGAAACATCCACAGGAACGTCAAAATCATAAGCCGACATCGAGTCCTTGATGGTATGGAACCGCTGCTAAGCATAAGATAGCGACCCTGAATGCCTTTATTTCCTGAACATACTTTCTCTTCCCATAAAACGATACTAACTCCCTCCGTCCACTGTTTAGGATTTCCTTCATAGATGACGACAGCAAAATCAACTCTTCCTTCGTCGTTTGCGATGGCTATCTTCATGTCCTCCAGCACTTCTGCAACAATGCGAGTAAGGCAAGCGCATACTAGAGGGGTACGGGAGAGTACTTTTAGGAGGCCGAGCTGGATGGTTTTGCGATTCAGTACGGTTTCATATATTTCATGGTATGAACGTACCGGCGCGTTCTTTCTCAGTGAGTCTGAGATCCTTATGGATCCTCGTCCGCTTACCAGGCCGAGTGTTTACTGAGACCTCACTCCTAAAGGAGAGGGCAATGGCATTAACCTGAGAACCTTCAGGTTGCTTGAGTATATCCCATTGGAGCATGTCATCGAGCATCCGGCAGACGGGATGAATGACATTTGCCATGTCCCATTGCCTACAGAAGCATGATGTCAGTCAAGAAATGACCTGTGGATAGCCAAGTGTACATACGAATTATCGCCTTCCTTATCGGCCAGCTTCAGCAAAGGCGGACTGAGGGGAGTGTACATCATTCCTGTCTCTATGTCGAACTGCTGAAGCTTCTCCTTGAATGCATTACGTGCAGATGCCATGTCTGCTCCAGGGTGGCAGAAGGTGAAATTATTGAGGTCGTAATCCTCGTTCTCGTCAGAACTCGGGCTCGATGATGGGGGTTCTCCTTTGAAGATTGGAGGCTGAAGATCAAGCTCTAGGAATGCTGGAGCTCCACATGAGCTACGGACAAGGTCAACAAGAGATTGTGCCCGTGCAGGATTAGACGAGCATCGGAGCTCTCGGAAGTGTGCTATCAGCGAGTTCGCGGCCTCGATAACCTCTGGATGAACAGAGAACCCTTCAAGAACGGGTCTCAGCAGTTTCCTGGACGGAGTGCCATCGAGCCATTCGTCCAGAGGGGGTGGCGGCATATTGAGCTGTTTAACTACAACGGAGACGAGTTTTCGACTTTATAGAGCTGATCATGATCGCACGGAATACGCCACATAGAGCATGCGAGGACGGGGCGTCCACTGCGAGTCAGAGATAAGCTGAGAATGAAATTATGACCTATTCGGTTCCTACTGTGCCAAATCTGTTTCGACTACAAGAGATGTGCAAGAACGAGCTCTGGGCTTGCCCATTGATATTATCTGGGCTAGACTCAGTGACGGCTATGGCGAGGACCCCTCTTGTTTCACGACTGTGTATCAATATATCAGGCCCCGGAAGACGGATACAGCTCCCTACTGGTACTTTCGCGCAACTGTGTGCCAGAAGCGGACAGTTGCCTTCATTGGTCCAATCCCATATGTGCAACGCTGTATCACTATTGTTTGTGGTGCTACTTGACATCTAAATTTCTAGCCAATACGTTCTCATCTGCCATGCATTGAAGTACGCGTTGTCGGCGCCATGAGCACAAAACATCGAAAGCCACTGTGGACGTGGTGTTGATGTGGTGCAACGCATATACCATTCTTCGATATCCTTCATTGGCACGTTGAGCTTTCGGAACAGCTCCACAGTGCTAACGCAGAGTAAGTATGTATGCACTGTATACAGAATGCCACCACGTACTGTACGGCGTCGTGGAACTTGTTGCTTTCGTCCGAAGGTTGAGCGAGGTTGAAATCAATCACTACTAGCGCAGACGATGGATCATCGTCTGGGATCTGTCGCATCAACATGACATTATGCCAGTTTATATCGCCATGTACGACACCCATTGCGTGCATTTGATCCAGCTTTGACAGTAGGTCATCGATCTTTGCAGAAATCAACCGCACGATATGATGCGCAATGCAACGGAAGACTCACGACGTCAAATATATCACAGCGAACACGCTGTTCGATAGTGGCCCTGTCCAAATCGGATAGCCGTATAGCATCTAGGTACTCCAGTACATGCACGATGGATATTTCATCATTTGGCAAGCGTATCTGGAGGTTCGTCAGCACAGTCATAGTTGAGAATTGAGAGCGAACAACCTTGTAGAAGCCGAATGAGTAAGGGATCAGGGATCCTAGAGACAGTTCAGATGCGGGCCGGGTATGATTCGTACTTGCGTACCTTGGAACGACTTCAGTTGACGGTAAGCCCAAGCTTCGATAGCCGCAGTTTGCGCCGCGCTGCGCCATATATCTGACCAGTCATCATTCTCATCGAAACAGTCTTCTTTCGGGAATTGACATAGACTTTGCTGGTATATCTTGAGGCATACACTACGAGGTTTTCCAGCGCCAACACGTAACGTTCCCAAGTAAACCTGGGTAAAGGTGTCCACTTGCGCTCGGATAGGCTTCGAGACGGTAATGACCATGTCTTGGGGCCGCGCTGCGGAGAGTAGAACGTCGGGGAAGGGGGATACCCGATGATATTTGGTTGTGGAAGTTGCTGCTACAGATTCGGTCCAGGCGTCGGAGGGAGTGAATTCACGAGGTAACAAGGAAGAGAGTGGCGTAGCGGTGGCTTCGGCGCGCGTCCGTTCCAACTGCTGGATATATGCTACTCCTTCTTCATAGTTTCGAGGTAGCGGTTCTTGTGAAAAGAAATAGGAGCGCGGTAGCAGTCCGAGCACAAGTTCGACGTCTTCGTCTGCCATGATGGTGGTTGAAGCTGATCTACGGGCGCACCTGTGTGGCGTCGTCTCGTCGCGAGACGCCACCGATTCCCAGGCTCACAAAAGACTCTTGTACAGCTTCGCTTGGCGTCGACATATGCTAAAGAGACAGTCCCGCTGAAGAAGTAAGCGGATCCTTGACGCGGATACTTTATCAGTGGACTTTGCCTCAGATCCCGGTGGGGAGAAACAACATTCAATATTCAACCAAACTCAAGATAAGACCGACCTGGCACTGGCATATCCTCAGCCGACTACTTAGGGTATAGTTACGATCAGCGGCGTCAACGTCGACCCACCGAAGCTTTGCATGTCATGGATTCTTCCACTTCGCATACGCTGCAACCACCCTTCGTCTCTGCCTTCCCTTCCTCACCCATGCTATCTTCGGATGATTACCAACGTTCGACTTTCAAACACGGTCCAGCACGGCGTCCCCGGCGGATTACAATTATTGGGTCTGGCAGACCAAACCACGAAACCACGAATGGTCGTGTTCGTTCTCGTTGCCACTTTGTTGACTTCCTTGCCTGATACGACACTGATTGCAGTGTCAGTCCCTTCTCCGCTCCAGTACGCATGCACGTCACCATGCTCAAGTCTCTTGGGACGTGCACCAGTCTCGCCTTCGCCGCCGTTTGCTCGCTTCCGGGAGGAGATGCTCACTTCCGGGAGGAGATCACGCTGTGTGACTCGTCGTGCTCACACAGATCATCGACCGCACCAAGGTTTTCGCCCTGCGAGTTTCTTCGAGGGCACGAATGTTGTCGTCCACGGCGTATTCGGCGACTAGTACCCGGCCAAGCTCGTTCAGTAAGTCGAGCGCGAGGTCGCGAAGACGCTCGAGGGTCGCGGCGTTCAGCTGCACTCAAAGAAGACGATCGTCTGCACCCAGTTCTGGACGAGAGCGGAGAGAATCCTGTACAGAGTCTGGGGATGCAACGTCATGAACGTGGGCGCGGCACCGGAGGTGAAGCTGGCTCGGGAGGCTGAAGCAACGTACGTCTGCATCAACTTCTCTGGAACCGATGTCTCAACCCAGATACGCTCTGATCGCCAGGGCGACCGACATTCCTCCATTGTGCATCGCAGCGGATCATCGAATGAAGAAGATTGGCAGCAGTTGGCATATGTGCTACCCGCAAAAGGCTCTTTTCTGGCATCATGTCGTGGATAAAAGTACTTGCAATGCAGCTGTATGCTCTTACTACAGGTCGTATTCACGATCTCTCAGACCCATCCATATGAACAAGGCAGACATTTCTCTGGTAGTCAAAGCATCTTGCGGGGGATTGTACTTGTACGTGCCATCGTCTTGATCCATGTTATAGGTTGACATAACCTGGCACTTGTGCCTCATTTCCCTGAGTCGATTGTATGCCTTCTGCCCGAATTGAGAGGTCGTCAGTTTTTTCTTCATGTTGAATTTCATGAAGTCCTCCGCGCCCCCTGTCTTGCCGAGTCCCCATTCATGTTCATCCCAAACCGTTCCGGTGACAACCCGGCCGTCACAATGAACAGCATAGGGAACCTGCTCCTGAATAACGTATCTTGATGTGATTATCAGTACCAACACATTTAGGAAGGTGATGTACTTACTTGCGGAACTGAGCTTCGATCTTGCATAATTCGCCATGAACGTACGGATCCATCCTCACAAAGTACGGCACGGGTCTCCTGGAAGTGATATAAAAGTTCTGTAGGGATCCGAATATCTAGACGCAACGGAATCAGCACATAATAGATGCGCTATGCCGCAAGTTGCTGTAATAAGTACCTTATCCTCCCACAATAGGATGGCCCGAGCCTTGTCGAAACATTCAGGCTCTATCTCACCGGCTGCGACATTGGGTACACCTTCATCTTCATGAAATAGAACTGCGTGATCAACCGCATCGTTGTCGGCGCCCACGACCGTATATTCGCCTCGGTAACTAAGATGTGCTCGTTTCGTATTGCCGAACTTCTTCTTGATATAATGCTGAAGCCAGGAGTCCATTATATGAACAACCGGCTCGAGTACGTTTACAACAGTCCAAGTCCTGTAGTTCAAGAGTGAGATGGAGATAAGTCGCTGAATCTATGCACTGACTTCACGTCTCCTTCCAGAACTGCGCCCTTGTTTCTGAGCTGCTCGTAGCTCATCAGATGTCCTGATTCCTCCTCCCACTGGGCAAACGACCTCCTAAATTCATCTATAGGCCAATTTGGCTCCGTAAAAGCAATATGATCCAAGCGATACGTTTTTGTTGACGTGTAGTTCGATGAATCCTTCACGGGTTTGACAGGGTCCGCAGAACGACATGCATACAGTGTTTCGCTGAGAATGCTAGAAGGAAGGCGAGCCGATTTGACGAGCTTCAGGAAGTTGCCGGCTCTAGCTGCTGCGTACTGGCCCGGAGCGCTCTCGATATGTGCATGTAGATGTTGCAACAAGGGGATGATATGGAGCAGGTCATCATATGGAAGCGATCGCAGTGTCTCAATGAGCTCCTCCCCTTGAGAGGTGGCCAATAGCTTGTCATTGAGGGCGCTCATGCTGGATGAGAAGGGCTGTCGTTAAACTATCGATTGGCAACGCCACACAAGTGAGATGTTAAAGTTGCCCACGTTCACGTTCGAATCACGTTGGCTTTCCAATGTGGCGCGTTTCATTCATGAGTCTCCCGTATTTCGAGACTACAAAATAGTGCCGTGATTTGTACGTGGAAACGTATACGGACGTCATAATCTAGTATTATGCGCTGCTGAAACCGCATGCGTGCGAAGAGGGAAGCATGCAGGTCAACAAGATAGAAATTATGGGAGTCGACCCGGGCAAGGATGCAACACGTCGCGATGTCATTCTCAGTCGTGGATATGGTACAAGCGGGCGTAGCGGATTATGTAGACAGTGTACAAGAAACAGCGTAATACGAGGCGCCGACGCTACTCGCGCATAGCTTCGCGAACCGGCCACCGATAGAATCAAGAGACATCGAGTGCACAGTCTCGCAAGATCCACTCGACCCCGCGCACACGTCACTCATCACTGTCACGACCCCGACCGGGACGGTCACGATCAGCTCGGCAGCATCGGCGCCACTGTTTGCGCACCCGCACCCGGTCACTGCGAAGGATAAAGAGAAGCCCATGACGACTCCTGGTCAGGTGTTGCAGAGCTCGGTCGAGGTTGCGAGCGAGGTCCATGCGAGAGAGCGCGAAAGAGAGAGGGATCGCGAGAGAGGATCTGAGGCGAGTGGGAGCGGTAAAATCCCTGTGCCGATGGCGGTGGACGACCCAGAGCACTTCCCGCCCACGCTTCTGTTCGTCCAGAAGCTCCGGACGCGAACCGATCCTGAGACGTATGCCAAGTTTTTTGAGGATCATGAGCCAAGGAGCGGGGCTCTCTCAAGAAAAGGTACGTTTCTTATCGTATTCTCACGTATGACGGCTGACGAGAACACGTCGCGCAGCAATCGGCGATCCTCGCGCAGATGGAGAAGCTCGTGGAGAAGGACGCAGATCTGTACGCGTCTTTCCGGGAGATCATGTCTGAATCATACATGTTGCAACACAGGCAGCACCAGCCGGCGCACACGCTACAGCACGATCGGCGGTTCGTGAGCCCGCCGCCACGCGCTCCGGCACGGAAGGACAAGGAGCGGACGAGGGAGTCGGACGAGGGAGTCGGACCGCGAGCGCGAACGAGAGCGGGAGCGCGAACGAGAGCGGGAGCGCGAACGCGAGTGGGAGCGCGAACGCGAGAATGGGCCGGTAGTGCCGGTGAAACGGAAGCGCAAGGTGCCCGAGAAGGAGAAGGAGCGAGAGAAGGAGAGGGATGTGAGGCAGGGACCGGAGCATTGTTAAGGTATGCATCCGTAACGCGCTTCATTGGAGATATTGGTTCGCTGATGGCATGTCCAGAAGTCGAGAGGGCACGAGCGAGATCGGGAGGTCGCCTCGTCGGCTCGCGAGCGGGACCGCGCATCCGCTTCTGATAGAGACCGGTCTCATCACTACTCGCAGCAGCACCAACTCGCGCACGGACCTTCCAATGGGCTCCACGGGCCCGCCGGCCACCCAGCCCAAGAGGATGGGCACTTCTTCGCGCTTGTGAAGCGCGCGCTCGACTCGCGCGAGACGTACGCCGAGTTCCTCAAGCTCTTTAACCTCTTCACGCAGGGCTTCATCGACCGCGGGAGGCTCGTGGCCGAGAGCCGGAGCTTCCTCGGCGAACTGATGGCACATTGGAAAGAGATCCTGGGCTGCGACGAGAAGGAGGTGTTTGGTGGGATCGCTGGTATGGGCGCGATCAACGGGCAAGAAGACGTAGACAATGACAGCAGTGAAGGCGGCGAAGGAAACACCGTAAGAGAGCGCAAACATAGTAGAAATGAAGACCGGGGAGTAGGCCCTATTCTTCTCCACATTGAAGACACCATGGGGGACAACCCTGATGGCGTCGTAGGAAACGCCCGTGTTGTCTTACGTATTGAAGCCAGAGGAACTTGGCAAAGAAGACGTTGCGGTATGGAGGATCAGAGTGAGGACCCAGAACCACAGGATGAACGACACGAAGGTGTTCGCCTCCGCCCACTACTGTGAAAGCATAGATTGAGAATGTTGTGCTTATAGAAGAAGGAAAGTTGAACGTACTGGAACTACAGGAAGACTGCCGATGTACGCGATATCATGCTGGTGTCGGTGCCGAAGAATTAATTGACGACGATGTCGTCCGGCTCGATCCTACACACACAGTTCATGACGCTGAGTCGGTGACCAGAAAGTTATCCGGGCACCCAGTACCACACGAAGCTAGCGAGGAGCGTGAAGCGTTCGCGGATCATGTGTCCCGGATGGCGACAGGCATGGTGTGTGTGAAGCGTATTGAAAAGCGCGGCGTTGATGAGCGCGCCGGGCCAGATTATCCTCGACGGCTAGACAATAAATCGGCGAAAAAGGCCGCCGAAGGCGTAGCCAATGACTTGGGCAAGACCGTAAGGAGGATTGGGTACGCGAACAGCCAGTTTCTGGCCGTAGAAGACACGCTGGGCGGCGATGACCTCGGTTGCGTGCACACCACCAATGATGGTGCACGTCTTCACATTTAACAGCGAGCCGTCGTTGAGGGTAAAGCTGATGATGCGGTGGCGGTGGCGGGGAAGTACATATTCCAAGCCATTGCCGAGCGGGAGCGCTGTCAGCAGGGGTGACCAGCCCGGTTGATCTGCATGCTCGGGTCTACATGTGATGCCGTTAGCCAGATTCATGGACTACAAGGACGTGAAACATACAGCGCAAACGGAGGGTGACGATAGAGAAAATAGTTGAGCTGAGCAAGATCACCGTCGGAATACAGAGTGGGAACCGAGTGCGCGGCAGGAGATTAGGAAGCAGTCGAAGAACGAGGGGGCGAAGGCGCCGATGCCGAGAGCATGAAGCCGAGGGTGACGGGCTCCTCGACGGGTGTGGGGTTCGGCGGCCGGGTGCACACAACGAGGTCGACGTCGAAATCGGGCGGTGGAGGAGGAGGTGGCGCTAGCGCTGGGATACCCAGTACGTTTGCCCCGACGAGGCTTGGAGACTGTGGCCACGCGCTCGGGGCTACACTCGCCGGCCGGTTGCGGAATGGTGAGCCTGTGCGCGCAGGGACGGGTCCTAAGGGGGGCGTGGCCGGTTGCGCGCCGATGGGTAGCTGTGGAGAGCCTGATCGGGTAAGCCCGCCACCAGATACACTGGCCTTGCCCTGCAAATAGGGAGGGACCGCAGATGCGGGCGGATGAGGCGCGATCGACCGTGCGGTAGGCGCGGGGGCAGCAGGAGGGAGGGGGATGCGACACGAGAGGGTGGAGGTGATGAGGCGGCCTGGCTCGTCAAAGCCCGAGCGCCAGAAAATGTCCAGGGGACCGAGGTGCAGGATGCTCCCAGGGGCGTGCGTCACGGGAAGGTCGGGGATGGAGAGGGGAGAGAATCCTCGGACAAGACAGAAGCGGTTGGCACACGAGGACGTCAAGGAGTTCATCTTGCAACGGGTGTGGGCACAGCCGCTTTAGACGCACAATCCTCTCATCCGTCCTATTCCTCTGAGCAAGCCCAGAGGTGTGTGACCCTACCAGGGCCCGTGCCCCTGATCCTGGCGAAGGACATCTGTCTCATCCTCGGAAGTGCCTATGGAGTGACACTGAAGTGGTGATAATAAGAGCATCAAGGATTTACTTGCACAGAGAACATGTCGTTAATACAGAAAAAATTAAAAGTGCCAGCGAGCGGTAAGAATGCACGTGACAAGTCCCACAGTATGGGTTGGTCCCAAGATATCACGTGTGTAAGCTGGCGCCGAGGCGCCGGTCCCGACTCCCCAATTGCGAGCCCGAGGGGACGGCGGAGATGAGGATAGAGGAGGGCCAGGTCGTGAAGGTCGTCGGCAGGGGCGACGGCGTCTGATGGGCGGTCGTCGTCAGGAATTATAGGCGCGGGGAGCGCGGGGCGGGCGAGGGGCAGGAGGAGGAGGAGGAGCACGCGCTCGTGCCAGAGGGGTACTTGGAGCTCGTCGAAGCGAATCCGGACGCGGACACGGACGCCGATGTGGACGCTTGAAAGTTCGTCGTCGTCGTCGTAGTATGTCTGGCTTTGTTTTTTTTTCCCTTTCTGAGCTGCTTATTCTGTTGTTTTGTTTGCTTGTATGCGCGGGCGCGTCGAGGATGTGTGTGGCCCCAAAAAATGCCAATTTTCTTTGTATCGGTTTTCACTTGTTGGATCCACCGACGGTGACCTAGAGAGCGCGCATATGGATTATCCTCCAGCTCGGTGGACTAAATCTACGCCTTAGGATAATCGTCTCTCTCCGGATGAGCGCATGGGGTCATCTTACACCGAAGGCGCCGGCGTGCAAAACATTTCGGATGAAAAGCCTCCCTGCGGGTATCCGCACACGCCGAGCGCGCCTCGTAACCTATCCGCGTCTTCCTGCATGCTCTCCTCGATCGCCAATGGAAGGCGTCGGAGGTCGGGAGGCCCGCGGGCTACATACTCGTCGGTCGCAGATAACTATCTTGCAACTCGCTCGCTCGCTCTCGTTTTTTTCGAACTTGAAGGGCAACTATGCTACACTGAATATCGTACGCGGACGTGCTATCCTGCAACGCGACGACAACCTTCTCGCCCACTTGACGGACGTGCACACCGACTCAGCGTGCACGTCGGAGACGGCGTGCAACTCTTCGGGAACTGGACGGTAAGATTTCTTGCCTGCTGGATGTACTTCCGCATCAAACACGACTACCTTCGGCAAGCTGGTCCCAATCCGGACGAGATCGATACTGTTCTTCCGCTGGGCTTCTCGGATCCACGTACACACTGGGCAATATGAAACGGAAACCTATATCGGGCCTATCTTTCGTCCTGGCCCCGGGAGCACGTCATAGTCATCGGCATCGTGCAGCGCATATAGAGCCAATGCGTGAACGTTATCTTGGGTCGTCGTCCGGTTCAAAGCCGATATGCGAGCAGTCGACGTTCTCCTATGGTGTGGGTGAAAGGCGATCGGCCCCGAGGGGCCGATAACCTTGGGCGCAATCCGAGGGCGAGCCCGGAGGCTCGCCCCGGCTTGCTGGAGGAACGTCTCGGTTTCAGCATGTTTTCTCTACCGAATGTATACAGGATGCGGGCGGGCGGGCGATGAAGCTACTACTCGCTGTCCCTAGCTGCTAGTGGGTTCTGAGGGAGAGAGGCGCGACGCGCGTCGGAGTTTCAAAGTTCCTCCCTCGAGCCCAAGACGGCGCACCGAGCTTCGCTCGGTGCTCGCTTCTTGGGTCGTCGTCCGGTTCAAAGCCGATATGCGAGCAGTCGACGTTCTCCTATGGTGTGGGTGAAAGGCGATCGGCCCCGAGGGGCCGATAACCTTGGGCGCAATCCGAGGGCGAGCCCGGAGGCTCGCCCAAACCGCCCACCAGCCGCGGACGAGGCCGAGGATGAGCCCACACCCGGCGGAACCAATGCCACTGAGCTTTAGCTGCGTTTGAAGGGCTGAATGCGGTGTAGGTGTCGGGGGAGAATGTCCTCCACGGACCTCCAATACCGCAGGAACGCATCTGATGACCACCGGCCCGCCGTTTTGACGACGTGCGGCGGGACGCCGGCCAGTAAGAGCTCCGTCGTCCCCCCGATCCGGAAGCAGTGGCCGGTGATGCGCGGGTAACGGTTCCGCGACCAGACTGAGTTGCAGCGCGCCAGGAAGGCCGTCTTCGTGAGTAGTTTCTGGCCTTGCGGGTGCGCGTATGCGAATAGCGAGGTGTCTTTCGGGAGGGGACTTGTATGAAGGTGGTACTGCAGCGCATAGACCGGATCTGTGGATCCGCGTTGATGGTGGAGGAAAACCACCTCCCCTCGGCTGTAGCGCGTCTTGGTTGACGGTAGCGTCAGCGTGTACGTCGACGAGAGGGGGGCGGGGTTGCGGAAATCCGCTCGCCTCGGAATTCGAGTCGGGTTCGCGTTTTGGGATGCGGGGAGTACTTCCCCGGCCCGGAGTTGCCCCCAGAGCATCGTGCAGGCGGCGGCGTAGACGGCCGAATCGAATGTGGAGTTGAAGTCGAGTGCCCTGTGGAGGCAGCGTAGCATGTCGCGGGTCACTGGGGCGCGTGCGGGTTTGCGTGAGTGTTTCGGTCGGAGATTTTCGACGCCCTTCACTGCGTACTGGAGGCGTGTTCCTCCGAGCCACGGGGCATTCTGGGCTATATGCCACGCCTTCAGCGCCGCAACCCAGTTCCGAGCGGTGCTCCCAGCGACCTGGCCGGAGCCGGTGGCTACGAATGCGCATAGTACTACTTCCTGCGCTGGGAACCGGTCAACTACAGGGATGCGTTCCGCGACGCAGAACTGGGTGAACTTCTCAACTACCATGCCATAGCCCTTCAGGGTGTTTGGCGCCCATCCGGCTCGTATGGTCCTCTCTAGCTGTTTCTGGGTGCCCTTCGACAAGATGATTTTGCGGGGGTTGTGGAGAAGCGCCGCCGCTGTCGAGCCTGCGCCCGGGTTGAAGAATGGCCGCGCCGGCTTGCGTCGATTGGCCTTCGCTGTCGAGGAGGTGTGGGCTGCCCGAGGCCTTTCCGCTGTGATGTTGGTGGGGGTTCTGGTGGTGCGTGTGTGCGGCATGTACAGTGCGAGAGCGAGCGAGCCTGTCTGCTTTGGCCTGCCTGGGCGTGGCGGAGCCTGGGAACCGGACATCTGCCGACGCGGCACGGGTCTATTGCGACAACTCCGACTACGCCGCCTTAAGGTAACGGAATACAGCAATATATGCAGACTTCACACGGCTCCACAGGGATTTTTTGGGCTGAGAGGATGGGTGAGGTGCTTTGGTGTCCTGAATGAAGCGCCCGCACACGCAGTCGCCCGCGACCACTCCAGGGCTGTCGCCCCCAAACCAGTGGGTGCAAGTGCCCCCACCTTTGGCATATCCCTCTACCAGTGTCTGGACGCTCTGTGAGGAAGTATATGCTGTCCGTCGTGAGTCTCTGAGCCCGCATCTGGGGAGTGGGGTACCTTTGTACTGAGCTGCTCCAGACCCATCTTCATAGGCAATCGAGCGCTCGAACTCGATTTTTACAATCATTTCTTGCTCTTCCGACCTCCTGAGCGAACACATCTCCTCGACAACCCGGTGGCCTGGGATGATGGGTTAGCAACCACTTGGGAGAGGTGGTGTGCGTGAGGGAGAACGTTGACGCACTTGTGCGGGGCATAGTGATAAGTGATAAACCAGGGAGGAGCGCAGGTCGCCTTGGGACTCCCTTTTACCGTCGCTAGCCGACGCCTAGCGGGGCTGCGTGTCATTTCATAAAATTGTAACGTAATGAGGACGGGTCCAGTCTGTCAGGAAGAGGAGGTCCCGCCTCATGCCCTCCGTCTTGTGCGACACCTTAAATTTGAACGGAAAATTTTATTAAATTATTTCCGGTCTAACTATTAGCGAGGAAATACAATAAGGAATTTTGAAGGTAGCCGAGGAGCGTGGCATGTCTGTGCGAGGGATGCCCCGCGAGGGGGGATCTGCTTTGTTCTCCGCCGACGGGACATAGCGGGGCGTGATCCATATGGAGTGCGCCCGCATTAGGGTGACAATTCGCTGAAGAACGCGGTTGTGTTCTAGATTCCTAGACTTCCCGGCATCCAGCGCGCCAATCACGCTCTGGTTGTCGGAGCGAATAATCACGTGGAGGCCGCTCCAGCCTCTCAGCAGGGCCAGGCGTAGACCGAATTCTATTGCCACCATCTCGGCCCAGCCGATCTTCCGCGCTTCCGAGCGCCAGCCGGGCGCGAGCTTCCAGGCGTCCCATTCGCCGTTCAAGACGACGCCGACGCCCCACGACGTGGAGGCGTCTACCCAGAAGTCACACTCGGTGATCTCTGGTGGGCGCTGCAGCGAACTCCCGCAGGGGCCTACCTTCAGGGTGGTCCTCCAGAACTCGATATCGCCTAGGACTTGGCTGTTCGGTGTCCGCCGTGAGAAGGCCGAGGAGGCCGGTGGGAATGAGGAGGAAAACTTTGATATGGCTACCAGTTTTGAGCGCCCGTCCGGAATGGCCAGGCTGCAATGGACGAGGGTCCCCATGACCCGCTCGGCTTCGCGCTGCGTGAAGGCGCTTCCGGCGACCCACGGCTCGAGCTTGATGACGTAGCGAGCCCGTTTGTCTTCTGGGACCGAGACCCATTTGCGCTCGAGGTCCCAGTCGAAACCGAGATAGCGGAAGATCGGCGCGAAGTCTTTGGTCTTCGACGGCTTCCACGGCCAGCCCAGCCGCTCCGCCAGCCGGTGTACCTCGACTAAGCTATATGCGAACTCGGGAGGTCGGCCTTCGCTCGCGCGGATGGGGTAGCGGACGAATGCGAAATCGTCTACCCACTTCTTGAGGGCGTCGACGCCGGTTTTCAGATATACTGCTGCCATGCAGTCAGCGACCCTGCCCCACACCCCTGGGGAACTTGCCGGTCCGAAGGGCGCGCACGAGTCGATCCAGAATTGATCTCGCCACTGGACCACGAAGTGTGGTTGCTGGTCCGGGCGGATGGGGATGCAGCGGAAGGCGGAGTCGACATCGAGTGTGGCCACCTGCGTGCCCGGCGGGGCATCCATGACGAGAACTGCCATCTCTGAAAAGGTGCCCCACTCGCATGGGAACGAATCGGAGTCGATAGCGGCGTTCACCGATGCGATGGCGGGATCGTTGCGCGGGTACGAGAAATCTTGTATCATCCGCAGTTCGGCAGTTCCGGCCTTTGGTACTGCGCCTAAAGGGGAGGTACGGAATGGGCCGATGAGAGTCTCGAGCCTCTCGCGGTCGAAGGGGCCTGTGTAGCGGCGGGCTGCGCGTTCCTTGTGAATATACGTGTCGATCGCTTCCGCGTTCGACAGTGAGGATTTATGATTAGGAGGTGTGTAAGTGATGTTTACAGGGGACGGAATGCCCATATCGAATCCGATCCGCATGCCTAAGGGGACGTCCGAGAAGGTATCTAACAAACCGAGCGAGTCAAGAAGCGACTCCCATTCATTTGGTTTGAACGGGGTCGTCACGGCCAGTGCTAGCGATGAAGCAGAGGCTTGCGGAGTGAGCGTCCCCGCAGAGGGTGCAGCGGTGCTCTCCATGTGCGCAGGTGCCTGTGGCCGAGCAGCCCCTCTGCATGTTAAAATGGAAGCAGTACCTCTTTCCGGACTTGTCGGCGTAGCCCCCGTCTTGCGTCCTCGCGATGAACATAGGACTCCCGTTGGCGAGAGTCTTCGCGAAACACTCCTTCGTGCGGTGGGAGAAGCGTCCACAGAGAAAGCAGCTCCGAAAGGAGCTGCCGTTCTGGTCAGAGATTCGGCGTCTTGTCGAGACCGAGTTCCGCGATGCCCGTGAGGCCGACGATGCTCCTGCGGGCTCCCGCCTGCGGTTGGCCAGCGCGAGCTGGGCCTGTTGCGGTTGCGGCTGGAGTACTCGCCTCCCGAGGTGAGCGATATAGAGGTCGTCCCAGATCGCGCGATGATGTTCGCGTGGATCGATGGGGGTATTGAGCCGGCGTCTGCGAATTTCGATGTCGTAAGCGAGCCAGACTGGCCAGACGTTCTCGCTGCTGACGCCGCGGCGCAGGCGAATGTTCTCGTGATGGGTGTACCAGTCCAGGTATTCGTGAGGGAGATACTCTTCGAACAACTGGAGGTAACGTTGCCACGCTTGGAGCCACTCGGCGAACGAAAGTTGCATCTCGCCCTCCGGCGAGAGCGGCTGTTGGACCGGGACTAGGCCCCCGGATTCTATCTGCCACAGATTCGCCAAGTTCGCGTTCGTGTCGATGCCTTGAGCCATGCAAGCGGCGTCCGTGAGGTGATGAAGAGGAACGTGCCTCCTGTGGCCCCTCTCGAAGATGTCGCAAATCTGCTGAGGAATGACGTAGTAGTTGACGTCTGCTACGACCCCGGCGACGCGTGCCGGACGGCCCCGCGATGATACCGGGGTTGGGGATGCGTGTACGGTCGGGAACTCATCGACGTGACGGGCCTGTTGACGGGGAGCCGCCCTGGGTGCCGTGGACGAAAGACGTGGGCGTCGTGCGGCCCCACGCCCTGGGCGGGGTTGGTCGCCCGGGTCCTCCAGCTCCTCCGGCTCTGGGCTGGGTGACTCCGACCCGAATTCGCGGTTGGTGCTCCGGTGCCCTGGGTTTTTGTGAGTCCACTGGACCGGTAGCAGGTGTGTGCCAAGGAAGGGGCTAGCAAGAATGTATGGCACGAGCCGTAGCAAGGATGTGGAGGCGTGTAGCAAGACGCGAGCAAGGTGATAATTTACATCCGGCGAGAAGGCCGGGAAAGCAAGGAAGGAGGCATGTTGAAGGACTCAGTGAGGTGTATTGCTCACCTGATGATGTCGGGGGAGGGAGCGGTTGTGTCTCTGCCCGCGCCCGCGCCGAGCGAAGTGAGTCTCTCCCCCTACTCTCCGAGCGTGTCTGCAGCCTTTGCGAGTTCGTGCGTTGGCTAGGTGTCCGCGAGTGAGAGCGCGTGGACGCGGACGGGAGGCTTTGCTCTTGGGTGTTGGCTAGGCCCTGCCATTCCGAGTCCTCGTCTTCTGTGTCCTGGGCGCGACCTTGGAGGTATTCGTTCTTCTCCCTGTCCGTGTAGAGGGCCGTGAAAGAAGGGTGATCGATGAGTTCGTCCTTGCGGTCGAGCAAGGCCTGCTTCGTCCGTGCTTTGAGGTCGTGGACGTTCCCTCCGGGGTCGACGCCGAGTGCTTCCGCTAGTTCGACCAGTGCTGCCCGGTTGAGCCGATAGTGGGGTTTGTTGAAGGGGTTGTCCCGCGGGGCCCACGGAGGCATGGCTCAGATGGCTAGAGTCGAGTCGATGATACGATGAAGCTACTACTCGCTGTCCCTAGCTGCTAGTGGGTTCTGAGGGAGAGAGGCGCGACGCGCGTCGGAGTTTCAAAGTTCCTCCCTCGAGCCCAAGACGGCGCACCGAGCTTCGCTCGGTGCTCGCTCAACGGACGTCGTCCAGGTTGCGGTTGAGAAGTGATCCGAGGCTAGTATGCGTGCTATCACCGTTCTACGTTACATTGATTGCAACGCCTAAATGTCGAAAATCATTCCACCATAAGCTCTACAAGTTCCTGATCTACGAGCGCCATCCAGCATTTTGCGCCTAAAAGCATTCCTATGGGCTGGATGAATCTCCGAGGATTCTTTCCTCCAATGATATGACTCAGTGTTTCGTAGACTTGAGCTTCAGGAATGCTAGGCGTTTCTTCATCGAGACACAAGAACGCGCCTCCCGTCTTGCCTAGGAACCCCGAAGCGTCGTCATTCTTGATATAGAATGTGAATGCACCATGCGTCTTCGAGTCGGATAGTACTATGTATGGAATCTTGCTTATCTCGAAGTATCTGCATAAGCACAGGTGGCGCGACATGTGAATACGCAACACGGTGTATGCATAAAC